CTACAGAATTGTCTTCAGCATTTATGGTAAACCCTGCATCTCCAAGTTATTAACCTTCAGTTACTTATCCTGGTGATCCTAGTTCCCCAGTCCCCATTTGGTTTATATACATCATCCTCCCCATTATTACTTTGCCTATCTCCAGGACAGCATTCATTATTTAACATCCCCATATTGGAAAATCATCATAATATTATATTTCTGATGTCAACAGTGCAAAAACGCACATTTTTATGGATGCTAGTAAAACATGCAAAACTCTTTTTTTTCCTTCTAAATATTATACCATTAAAGTTGACACTTCATCTAAAACGAACGCAAAACTACCACAAAAAACGGTAGCTATAGCAAAAATGTTTTTTTTTTTTTCAATTGTTATGTACAGAAAACAGAAGTGGGACTCAGAACTGCATAAGTTAAGACAGTAGCATTTTTGTTATCATAGAAAAAAAACTCCACAGGCAATTAAAAAAATATACACAATTTACAACAATCAGCCGATCAATAAAATTAAACAAGGAAAGGAAATAAAAAAAAAGAAAATCATTTAAAAGTCCAAAACGTGTTGAAAACCGTTCAACAGAAGTGGAATAAGCATTTTAATGAACTGACAGGTTTTTTTTTTAATAAACCTACACTTTAGAAGTGACCAATGACGGCACAGACCGAAAGATCAGTTGTTGATATTGTCTTCACAGTCACCTTACCTTCCCTCCCTCTCAAAACCCAAGACTGTCTGTCCAGATTGTCACTCCAACACAACACCTCACAAACACAAGGACACAGACAACACTCACACATCCTGCCGTGCACTAATGCATGATACTCTCCATCCAGCTACCTCTGCAGTGTCTTTAACTGACATTCTGTCCGCTAACTGCAGGTCACCAGATGAGAGTCACCATCTGGCACAGAATACAAACAATATGCTGCAAACACACACACACATACACACAGACATAGATGCACAGATCTCATTCAGTGCTGATCATCAAGGCAGAGTTTATCACCCAGTGCTCAGTGCTCCATCCCACTTTCATCTTTTGCTCCCCCGACCTTCCTAACCCCCGACCACTCTAACCTCCACCTCACACCTGTTGTTCTTTATCGGGTGATTCCTCCAGTGTGATGACAGTGAACTCCTCTGTTTTACCGTTTTCCTGGATCTTCTCCTTGTGCATGAGAGTTACCATCTCCTGCTCCCTTTCCTGTGAGTGGGGGCTCGATGCTGACGCTGCTGTCCCATTGCCTTCACCTGAATCTTTGACCGTGATCATCAACGTCTGCTGTCTGCCGCAGAGACTGCGAAATCACGCGGATGAAACGACAGAGGTTTGTGTCAAATAATAATAATAATAATAATAATAATAATAATAATAATAATAATAATAATAATAATAATAATAATAATAATAATAATAATAATAATAATAATAATAATAATAATAATAATAATAATAATAATAATAATAATAATAATAATAATAATAATAATAATAATAATAATAATAATAATAATAATAATAACCTTTTCCATTTGGCAAAAAGCACACAAACAGCAAGAATAGCAACAACTGCTATGATAACCACAGTGATGACCACCCAGTCTGAAATAAGAAAAACTGTGTTAGTGGATCTACTAAAAAGACTAGAAAACAATTCATTTATAAATGAATAAATACCCGTTGAACCCTGGCCTTCCTCTGAGTTGGGCTCTGACCCAGGAGCAAGGACTCTTCCTTTGCCATTAGAATGTGGTGAAGCTAGCAGAAAAACAAACAAAAAAACCAAACCAAACCAAACCAAACAAAAAAAGAAAATTCTGTCATTTATAGGTTGATACATTAAAGTTCAAATGTGTCTATTCTTGCACATGCAGACGCACACAGACAAACATACATTTATGTATGTGTGTGTGGTGTGGGTTACAGATCAGCCAAATAAGTCCCATCTACTTTCATAAATGTATTCTTCAACTCAAAGTAACACAAGGGGGCGTCCTAGGTTCCCTAAATATGAAGCGTTTTTAGACCTGTAACATTTCATATGTGCTTTTGCCCGTGAACCATAAATGACACACTTGAAAACTGAATGATGTGAATGAATTGTGTCTTTTCCTTTCAGGAAGCAGTTTAAAATTTAGTGGATTTTTTTTCTAAATTTAAAAGTTTCTTATTTTTTTTCAATACCAAACTGCTTTATGGTCCTTCTGTGGACAATTTGAGGTATAAGGTTTAGTTCACAGCTAGGATTAGATTCAGGGTTGAATTAGAATAAGGTTATATATGTACTGTTTATGTAATATACATAATTATGTAGTATACATGTAATAGTTAATGTCATGGTAATGACCTGAGAAGACATGATGTCTATTTGAAGTGCTCAGAAAACAGTGTTTGTGTGTGTGTGTGTGTGTATTTTTTTACATCCGTCATCTTGTGTTTTCTCGTTTTCTCGCCCATTTCCACCAACAGGTTGTGTTTCTCCAGGCTCTCCAACGGACGCTGTTGGAGTAAATGTTTCCTTCTCTGATAGGGTCGGCTGCATCCCAGATCCAATGGGCTGGTCCAAGTCTCCGATGGTAAAATCCGTCCCGCTGTTACTGTTTTCTCCGCCTCCATATGTAGGAGCCATTGAGACGTCATCTATTGTTCCATTTTCTTTCCCATGGCTGTATTGCTCAGGAACTAGAGTGAAGTTAACTTCCCCACTGTCAGAGGCCTCAGTACTGGACTGCAGCGGTTCCGCTGAGAAAAAAAAAACAGTCAAATTCAAAACACTACATGTGCTTTATTGTGCTGATTATAATGAGTTTCAAGACTTTATTTGGCTTATCAGCTGAGGAAACAGAAGGTGAGATGATGTCATACGTTCTGATTGGTATACTGATGAAACTGCTTGGTTACCGTTGTTTTTATTTGGTAAATTATTGGCAGTTTATGGGTTAATTTTTACTGGCAAACCATGTACCAAACCAAACATTGAAATATTAATACAGCATTTTCTACACACTGAGCCATTTTTGTCCTGGCCTCAGCTTCGTACTTCTGCTAGAGCAGAACCATTAGCATATGAGCAAAAAACAGCTAACTGGAGATAACACCGCATCCAGGATAACAACAATGGTGCAATTTTATCAGAACATTGAAGGTTCTTTTTATAACGCATAGAAAAAGGGCACAGAGACAATGAAAAGGCCCACAAATGTAATTAAAAATTGAAAAATCAGAGGAGTCAGAGCTTATGCTTCATTTCTGCAAGAAATTTGAAGATGCAGTTGAGTTTTTTAGCTTCTTCGTTAATACATTTGGCCTTTGTATCAAGATTACACTGCTGCCAAAGGTTATGATGCATTATTAATTTACAAAAGAAATAAAGAGGACCACATAAGTATTGCCTATAGGTTTTGGTTGTAATTATTGTAGAACGTCATTATCAAGGCATTATCATCTGAAGTTTCCATTAATTGCTGCACTGAAAGATATATTTTATTCACCAAACAGTAATAAAAGACTTGCTGGTAATTGGTCAAAGTCTGTGCTGGCACAATGTACTGACCTGATGCATCAATACCCCCAGTTAAATCGAAGGCATCCTCACAATTCTTCTCCGGTCCAACTGGGTCACAGAGAAAAGGAAGCAGAAATCATTAACATTTCTCACTGCAAACAAGGGAATTTAAATAGCACTGAAGTGAATGGAAAATGAAAAGTTACAGTCACCTTGATCATCAAAGCAGTAGGCATCAAAACGTTCATCAACTGTGAAATGTGCATATACAATGAGCCCAGTTGTGTTCTTTGCACAGTTCTCATGCTGCGTGTGCCTGAGGATGGCGACTGTCCCGTTACTCAGCCAGCCATTTCTGAATAAACAATGATCAGAAAGCAAAACACATTTTTTGTCTACATTCTAAAACAGGCATGGGTAAACCTTTAGACTCGTGGGCCATAGTGGGTCCTAAACTTTGAAGGAGGTGGGGCAGTTCAGGAGCAGATTGATGGAGCATTCTTATAAACTAAGACAAATGACACGTACAAGTCATGCATAAAGGCTAACATTCTAAGATGCTTTTTTTTAGTTCGAGTTCACCAGCTCCCAAGTTACCACTGAGGTGCCCTGAGCATGGCACCGTCCCCACACACTGCTCCACAGGTGCTTAAAGCTGCCCACTGTTCACATTGGTGATGGGTTAAATGCAGAGGTCACATTTGGTTGTGTGCAGTGGTGAGCTGTGTCACAATGACAAGTAGTTCACTCTTCTTCCTTCCTTTATCCTGTTCTAGACCATCCATTGAGGGAATGCAGGCATTGCAGGGCAAAGGCAGAAGTATAATGATATAGACATAGAATGAATATAGAAATGAATAACCTCAAAACATCAGAGAAAAACCTGAACAAATGCCTAATTTCTCAGTTAAGTCAGTTGTTTGGGTTAGTCAGGTGAGAAACACAACCATCTACCTGCTATTATTTGTCTTTCATTTCCAGCAATATAACAGAAAAATGTATTTATATCGTCGGATTCCTAGGAATGAAAATGTAACATTCATCACTTTAAAGTACAATCTTGATTAATTGCAATGAATCCACAGCGACCCTGCAATTAATTTGATTTAAAATTGTACTTGATTAACAACCCTAGTTCAAATATCATGATAAGTTGATAAAACTGCTTCAAAATTCAAATTACAGACAGCTTTAACAGAAGAAAAAAAAACATGTTTTACCTGCACGTTTCCATGTCTTGGTTATACGCATTCTCAACTTGTTCAAAACTAGCTAAAGTGGTGTCAAGCTGATTGCACACCTCAGCAGCCATAGACAGGTTCAGGTAGTGACGATTGGCTCCTTCGACCAGAAATACCCCCACATAACTACAGCTCCGAGAGTTCACTGTAGGGCGCAAAAAGAAAAGGGTCAGTAAATGTCCCGTAGCAGTACTAGAAGTGGTTTTGAAAGCAATGTGTGTAGCGTTGAAGTGAAAAATAAAACAAAGCTAGAACTCTATCCTATTTTACTTGCACTTAGCCTCACAGCAAGTAACACTCAAGTAACAAAATGAGATTTTTGTTATTTTATTTATCTCTCTACTTGAGACATGGTGTTCTGAACAAATAGCATTTTCGAAGCAATTAGCAAAGTCTAATCTCACAAGAAAAAAAAGGTCATTATTTTACTATGACATTTAATGAGATTTTTTTATCAGATTTTGTAGAATTAACATCTTCTAGATTAATCTGAAATAGCTGTGACATGGTCACCACTATATTTGCACAGAAAAAATGTATAGCTGCTGTTTGTTGCTTGTTTAACCTGTTTCCGTGGTAACAGAAAGATGACACGTTAACTGGGGTTGTCACATCCTTTATTTTTTTTAAAAAACTGAGTGACTCTACTGTGTCATTGCACAACGGTTCAGACAGAAATGGGAGGAAGCGACACTTTCATAGAGAGTCTTAGCACAAACGGTACACAAAATGTTGTCTTCACATGCAGGGATGTGAACCACTGACCTTCTTGCTGTACAGATGTACCTTTAACCCCTTTTTACTTTTTAATTTACCTACAGTGAAATAACCTGTTACAACACACGAGGTCAAAAACATTTTCCTAGTGTGATTTGTGCTGCCTTTTGACACTTCCTGCAGCAGTTCTTACCTGTGATTTTTGTAGAAATAAGCTAAATGACATTAGTGTGTCTGCCTTTGGTATATCCTTTGAACAACAACTACATTCCATAAACTAAATCTAACTAACCCTGAAGTGCCTAAAAGTTCAGTTAGTCCTTGAAAAGAAGGAAGTGCAATGTTGAGCAATGCACTGGCCAGATTTCCTTCTCTGCACCATGATTTTGACAGTGTTACATGGTGTAACATGGAAATACAACAATACTAAAAACACAACACTTACATATTTGACTCTATCTTATTATAGACCAGTGGTTCTCAGTTATCTTCTGTTATGCCCCCCTTTGGGGACAGAAATGTTTTAACGCCCGCGTACAAACCACTGTATGAGTTGCTGCCACTTAGTGACTGGAGGTTTGTTATCATCCAATCATTAGAGCAGTGGTACACTCATGTCCAACGTGCCATATTCACACCCCCAATGGCCCCGCCCCACTATTTGAGAAGTACACTTATGGATGATAACAAAAAAAAGCAAAGAACTGAAGAAGCCTCTTGGATGAGAGGAAACATCTTCTTTGAGAAAATTTCACGTCCAGTTGCCGAACGGAACTCTTCAACCTTGACCATGGCCTGGATGACTGAGAATCTTCATTTCAGTTACAAATACAAAACAACAGTTACAAATTAGTCATACTACCCATTTCTTTAAGTGGTGCAAACTGTCTAACTACATAACTGATCTGATAAATTTGACAAAAACCCAAGATGATTTATTTTTCTCCAGGCAAGCTGTTTTTGTGTAAACAGAGAACTGGCAACAGACGGAAGTTTACCTCTGTGCTGTTGGTGGCAGCTGGGCAACGAGAGCCAGGGCCAGCCTCTGTGCTTTTAGTTCTTTGTTCTCTCTCCCTCTCTATGTCGCACACACACATGCACGCACACACACCTGAACACAGGCAGCCACATGTCCATGTGCCCCACAGAGTGAATGGAAGACGAACAGTCCTGTGGCTGTAAACTCGTCCCTCGGAGATCAAAGCCAGTAAAGCGGTCAGTGAGTTGAACAGAGGGTTGACATGAATCTGAAGCTCCATCATTAGTATGCAGAAGGAACACTCATGGGTGTCTTTATACAGAAGTGGGGCCTGCTATGCAGGGGATTGACTCTCTTCAAGGCTTCATTGTCAACTAATGGAGTTGAAACCAAGGAGACTGCAAAGTGTGGGTTGTAAAGAACTGAAGAGAGAAAGGGAGCCGTAACACAATACACTGCCAAAATCTCCAGCTGCAAGTAAAGCACTGATCGTTCCTTCTCTTTCGCTCTTTTTTTTTTTGTCGTTGCTCAGTTCTTATCTTATTATTTCAGCAATAAAGTGGATAACTACCTCCTAGATGCAGGTGTGCAATCAAATTGGTCCATGCAGGTAAAAAAGTAATTTTTTTATTGCACTATGGTAGAGTGTGCATACGTGTGTGTGTCAGTAGGCTGACAAATATTGTTATTTCAGTATTTCTTGAGGCCATAATTAGGGTGATATGAAATGCAGGATTTGCTAACGTGTATCTTACAGTCGTAAGACTTCTGCTCTGACGACTGTAAGATACAAGTAAAAAAGATAAAAAAGAGACAACTGTAAAATGATTCCATTGGTATTTCTTTAAAACTCTTTTAGAATGATGGAAACAAGAAACCTGTATGTAAGATACAAGTTAGCAAATCCTTTATATCACCCTAATTATGATTGAGTGTTTTTATATTAGACGCCCTTTCTAATGCACACCAACCTGGGATTTGGGGACTTTCTGAATTCAGCAAATTATCAACTTTTAACACATTTGTCATTTCAACTGCACACTTACTTAACTTAACGCTGTTCTGCTGCTCTTATTTACATTGTTCACTATACTTCTCTCCTGACTTCCTCACAGAGCCAGTTCCTCCCTTGGATTGCTATCATAGGCTTCTTACACGGTGGAGTCGCTTCAGCATTTCCTGCACCTGTAGCTTTTTTGTCCTAAAAACAAAAAACTGACTCAGTAATCTAAACCTCTCATCTAGGTCTCACTTTAACCACACTTTCCTTTAGCTTCGTGATGTGGCTGATCAGTTATCTCTTTAGTTACTGCAGCTCTCCATGTCAAACCTGATCTTGGTACAATATTTCTCCATTTGTCAGACATCTTTTTACTCTCCATTATCATTTAAAACAGCCTTGACCAAAAGAACCTCTGCTCTACACATCCCGCTACTCTAACTCTATACCTCGTGGTATTTCCTTGGGACCACATGACTTCTGCTTTTTATTCTCTAGAGCTGTCCTTACTTATTTTCTCAGCGCTAATTTCTAGCTATTGTGATTCCATGTGGTTCTCTCTTTTGGTTTCCTTATTATCTATCCTTTATCAACCGGACCTTCTGTCTGTCCACAAATCCTTCCCTTCTTCCTTTCACACAACTCATCATCAGTCTTCAACTGTTTGCTGCTCTACTAGTAGACCTCTCATCACTCAAAGCAGGGGCCTTAAACTCTTGGCTCAGGGGCAAATATTTGGGTCACGAACCACCCAGCCATCCACCTATCTGAGCCTGCTCTTAGTTTTTGGCCCTTTCAATGTACATTTATTACACAAAATGATATCGAATTTTTTTCTAGATGTTTTTAATCTACGTAGCCCTTTTTGTGTGCGATTTCCTTGAAAACACGTGTTTTTGTTTCGTGTTTCTTTTTGAACCGATAAAACACATTGCTTCCCCTTTTCTCCCCCCTAATCACACTGGAACGTCCCACCTCATGGTGGTAGCCTTTTGCACATTACAGAGCTTCTACAGAGCAGTTTTCCCATGAACACAAAGACTGCACTGTAAATGAGTGGGTAGGGTAAGTAGGGGTTGTGTTGGTGGTTGCGGGCGTGGGGTGGGGTAGGGGGTGTAAGCATAAAAGAAGCATGAAATGCTTATGAAACACTTTCAACATGAAATTTAGTCTAAACGTTTACAAATGGTAGAACATGACATGCAACATTAGAACTCATGTCTTGTCCAATTTGTGTCAATGGCTTCAAGAATAAATATTTGGGAGAGGATGGTAGAGGTAAACCGATATAAGGCTAAGGATATTTGGTTTGCAAAGCAAGGAGAAGTTGAAGGCTGAACACGTGTCGTGAAATCTCAGGCGGCACAGACAGTGCACAGAGGCTGGACAGGCACAGGCGTTCTTTGTCACAGCTCAGAGTCCACAGGGCCCCCCGCCCCCCGAAAGACCATCAGCATAAAGCCTGGCACAGAAGCATGCAGGATGGGTTGTTATTTACAGACAAGCACCCAGCCCAGACAAACAACATGGGTAAATGTTCTTTACTCAATTCCCTTAAACATAATTCCTATAGTTTATATGAAATGACGTCACCTATTTAATGGATGATAGACTGCACAGGTAGTATGTGGTGCTTTGGTATGATATAGGGACAGCGTCGCTTGCAAAAGTGTTGAAATGTAAGGCCAGGTGGCAGTAATGCAACGTAAACTCTGCCAAGCCGTTGTAATAGAGAAGGAGTCTTATTAAGGGATTAGCACACCAAATTAAGCTAATGTGGATAATTGTAATCATTATTGTAACTAATGAACCTTCAAAAATGATATTGGATGTCAATTTAAAACAATACAAGGGAAGAATATGGGTGTTACAGTGTACAGCCCAGAGTCGTATCTTCCTTGGGGTATAATGTCATGTCTACGGCCAACAGCCGCCAACTGGTCGGTGCCATCACTGAATGAAAAACTGCACATTATGTTTTTCCTTTAACTGCTGTGTAGCTACAATGATGCACACCTGTCTGTTACAAGATTTTACAACTGAGACAAGTTATAAAGAGATTTGAGTTTGTTGAAATTTTTACAGTTCTCTATCCCAAAAAAAAAAAAAAAAAATATATATATATATATAGTGCTTTATATTAAATCAATTGATAAAATGATAAAATGTTTTATTTGTAAACATCTTTAATATTTCTTGACAGGCCTGTGATATATTAAATTACTGAAATACTCATACGTACTGGAAAGATTCAATGACAGGGAATCCTTCATTTAAACTTAGTAACTAAAAACTTAAGCAGTAAGAAATAAGAAAAAAACATTTTTTGTTACTAATTACTATGTACTAATTACTAATATATTTCACTTATATTTTATTTATGTTATCATGTAACATAATAGCTTCAGGTCAGTGTACTGATAACTCTCTATATGATGGCAATTAGATCTGGTTACAGTCCAGAAGTTGTAAATGTGATGTCTCTGAGGTCAGACTCTACATAGAACTATAGAAACACGGACAATGACCATATCAGCATGAGCGCCACCTTAGGTCATTTCTTACCACATGCCACAAACCATTAACAAAAATGGAGTTCCTCCTTCCACCCATAAATACACTGACTCTACTATATGCCAACGCAGCCACGTGTGTATACTTCTATTAAATCTCAGTCCCAGAGGTGATTTTTATTAACAGCGTTATAACCACCTGCTAAGGAAACATGATATTCTTACACTTTCACCTTGAAATGTACACATCCGTCCAGACGAAAGGTGCAAAGAAACCTGCACAAAGACAGCACACGTGAGCCCCACGGCAGTGAAAAAGAGGGAGAAAAAGCTTTAGCAACTGCTTTTAGCAACCCTTTGTGTCAGAGAATAAAGCACTAAGCGTGGCAGCACAGGATCCAGCTGAGGCTCAGCTTAAAGACAAAACATAAAAAATAACCTTTTGTAGCCAAAAAAAGAGTAGATCTTTGTAAAAAACAAAACCAGACATATCAACCAAAGACCTGATGATCAGAATTCACTTTCCTGTGTGATAACGTGTGCGAGACTGAGTAATGAGTAAGAGCGTCTGCCTCCTTTGTGTCTGTCAGGAGTCTGTGCCTGCCAGACGTAAGCCTGTCTGTGCTGGTGTAACACGCGCTCTCTTGCCGGCATCCACTTGTCCAGTAAATGAGGAGCGGCATGAAAAGTAGCCACAGGAGACGGTCTTTGTCTTTCACCGCTTTCGCCTCACATCAACACACATTTTCACCCAGTCTTAATATAAAGAAAGGCAAAAATGATTAAGCTTATTGCACTATGGCCTGTTTGCAAAATTTGGCAACAAAAGGAGTGTTTCCAGACAGTCACGCCAGACACACCTGAGGTAGATTAAAATGAGGGAGAACAATCCACAGAGAAACAGCAATAGAGTGGCTGAAGATATTGTGCCCTCACCTTGGTGCAGTTCTGAACTGGTTAAGGTCAGTAATCCAAAGATGACCCCCGAGAATAGCATGCGCATCATGGGCAAATCCATGACCAGGTATGTATCTGGTAGTAAAGGTACACAACGGTGGTCCTGTCTTTCCCTCTGCCAGGAGTGACGAGTGGTGGAGAAGGTGTGTGTGTGTGTGTGTGTGTGTGTGTGTGAAAGAGAGAGTGTGTGAATGAGTGAGAGAGAGCAGCAACACAGAGAGGGAGCGAAGGGGGGGGGGGGGGAGGGGGGGGGGGGGGGGAGAGAAGGAGGGTGGAAAGTGCGACCGGGGAGAGAGTTTGCTGTGAGTGTCTGGTGGCCACAGACTGAGACTTTGAACCAACTTTTCTGTTCTGTCCCTCAGAGACACGGAGGGCGGCGGCCCCCACAACGCAGGGGGAAGAACAATTCATGTGCCACACCTTCTACTCCAAACGAACTTCATGCCTCTATTAGCTTCTCTTCCGTGTTCTTGCCTGGAGGAAAATAGATGGACTGATGAACAGTCTCCACAGTGATGCCTTGTGTTTTCCGTTTTAATTTATCGTATTTTTTTAAGTTTGCCTCTTTCATTCGTCTCGCACACTGGGATTAGTGTTTAAGCATTTATTTACTTTTGGGAGGTAAAAAAAAGAGAGAAAGAAAGTAGTAATTCATTTAGGCATGTGATCTGCAGATACGCTTAATCATAACGGAAATGTGCTGTTCCTCTGCGTTATCCATCAACACGTCATCAGTTGGGTTGAGTAAAATGGAGTTCCCGCAATCGTCCATTAGTTGTTTGCATGTCTCTTAAAACATTAAACAATGACGGTGACAAGGAAGTGCGACTTCCTCGTTCTCATTCTACCAGCCATACTAATTCATCATCGTTTAGCTCAGCCTGTTAGCATGGCCGTTTGGCTGTACATATTATCTGCTGTCTTGGCCTTAAAATACCACTGTAACATATCAGGTCCCAAACCATCATTTTATTACAGTATCATTCTGATGATTTTACCTTGTAAAAAAACCCTCAAAAAATAAATATTGTTTTTTCGGATATCATTGATCAAGGTCACTCATTTGGAGAATACGTTATAATACGAATACGAATACGAATAGTTTTTTTTAAATAACTAAAGCAAGAAATACTGGGAATAGATTAAAGAAGAAGGCTTTATAGCAGTTACTGTACAATACATTCTACTTTCCCATCTTTTGTGTCAGTCATCCTGAGTTTCACCCTATGGCTTGGTTGAGGCAGGTGGCTGCACAGTGTCTGCCACCAAAGTGTTTGTAAGTGTATTATATCCGATTATTGACCACTTGTTATTAGTTAAATGTCATTATTACTTGGTGTTGCCACATAGAAAGGGAATTTTCTAACATATCTGCCTTCAACCAAACACCCACACCCTATGACTTTAACCAACACGTAAAGCTTACAAGCGCAACCAAAATAATTCACACTTCCAAACCACAAAGTATCAGTGATTTCCTGCTTTACCTGTTGCCATGGTGACATTTGCATCAGAAGAACAAACAGACGAGAAACGAGTACGAAAGGGTGAGAAAGGTTGTTTCACGTCAGTCTTGAAAGAGAGAAAAGTTTGAGTTTGCTCAAGAAGTGGGTTTTCTGTGTGTAAAATGTAAATAATAATATTTTTTTTTTAAATTCATAAAATGTAAAAAATAAGGAAAGAGCAGGAAAACACAGATAATGAATAGTATAGTGAGGTTTCCTACTTGGAACAATGTCCGTCTCAATTTCTCTCTCCAGAGAAACAACACTGTCACAGTGAGCAAAGGCGACCAACCACTTTAATGAATAGTCATGTCAGTGTGCAGCGTTTGCTGAGGCTGATGAATCCCTTTTCCAAACGCTGAACATACAAAGTGTGGCATGTTTAATGAAAAAAGGACCGACTTGGTCAACAGTCCAAAACAATTGCGTGAACTGGACTCTTAATCACAGTCAGTTGAACAAACCTATTCATCCTGGTTGAGCCTCAGTCCATGTTCAAGGGCTTGAGCCAAAGTCAGACCCACATGGGTTTTTGATTTAATAGTGTTCTGAAATGAAATTGTGAAATAGAGAATAGAGAGTAACAGAGCTTCTGTTAAATGAGACAAAGACGTACAGGAAACCAGGGCAATTATCTGGCTGTCTTGGTGTGATAGAACAGGGGGTACTCTTTCAGACATGAGAACCATCCCCTCCATGGTGGATACTGGCTGAGTACTCTGACAGTACACTCATCATACATTATGTCCTTGTTGTCACCAAGTAATAGAACCTCTTCAACACATCATTTTATCTACCCCCACAGCATGCTACTGCCCATAACAACAATACTTACACTGAGATACCTGCACTAGGTGCAATAGTACATGTACAAAATAGCTGTGACAAATATATTACATTTCAGCATGATCACAAAATGGTCATAAAGTGACTTTAGACACGATCATCTGACTGGGAGCGGACAGAACAGCTAATCGCTTTGTTCTATTTGTTAGCGGAAGCTACAACAGTAATGATTTTGAACGCTTGTATTGCACATGCATAAGCCAAAAATGTTGACAGAAATCTGAGATGTCTAAATGGGGTCACAAGCCAAAAAAATAGTTGGGAACCACTGATTTGAAGTTTCTGCACTAAAATCAACAACAGGACATTTAGGACATGAATTGGTTTGCTGTCGTGTGGAGATTATGGAAAACTGAGAAACTGAGACTCATTATCATACAGTGGGGAAAAAAAAAACACATGACAATGAGTCAGAATCTGGCATCTCTTTGATTAAAAAAATAAAATAATAAAGTTTCAACACTGTGCCCTTATGTGCTTCTTTGGCTTCAAGTGAGCCGTTCACAGCCCCAGACTGAATGCTGCGTAATGGGAGCATGACTGGACGGTTTCAAAGGCTAGGCTTTAGGCAACAACAACAATGACGGGTCTCATTTGTGTTTGGGCACAGGGACAGCTTAGCCAGCGTGTCAGACCAGTGTGTGTCACAGACTACTGTACAGCCTGCAGGAATGTCCTGCGTCAATCCTCATGGAGGCGATAACTCTCTCACTGTGGTCGTGTCAAAGCTCAGTAACCTGTGGGTGAAATGTGTATGTCTTGGTCAGATTTTGTTTTTAACATTTCACATCTGGCTCAATCCCCCCGCAGACGAGTTTGTCAAATCTTTTTCGGCATGTGTTTTTAAAAACAAAAATAGCGTGAAATAACATCCTGACGTTTGTTTTGTTGAGTAAGAAGATGCACATGATGAACAACAGAGGTTAAAACACAGAACAACAACATGAACTCTGTAAACTTAACAACATTTCACAATGGCAGAAAAAAAAGCCTGTGTGCTGGAGGGAGCTTTTTATACCCAGAACACCAGGTGACATGAGTGAGACTAACGAGCAGCGACTCACAGGACACAGATGAGTGTGATGACACTGATTAACCCAGAGAGAAACACACAGGAGGGAAAGGAGACAGACAGAACTCATAAGAAGACATTTTCCCACAACATTTTTTTATTATAGCTTCTTTGCCGTCTTCAGTTGTAATGTTCCTTGTTTGTCACGGTAGGGAGCTTTATCCTCACAACAGGACCAGATTGAATTAGCTGCTGTCTGTACCAGGTTTTTCATGCTTTTGCCTCTCGTTTCCCCAAGACAATCTTAAAGGTTGTTGAATGATGACAATTTAGTTTCATGTGTACTCCAGCATTTGCAAGACTCTACTTGACTTAAACAGACCTTAAACTTTGATATTTTGTACACACCATTTCCTTGAGGCAGTATTGGCTGTCACTTACGTCACAATTTATCTGATAAGAATGTTATGCCCCAACATTATACACATAACCACCCCTTCCAGCTCCCCCACACTTCACTACTGTACATTAGTACCTCTGTCACTCACCTACGCTAACAGTGGTGACCTGTGTCTGCGGGCCATAATGAAGGGCAAACAGTTCCAAAAAAATCAACATAAACTAAAGAAATGTAACGTAGCACAATGTATGGCATACAACCGGCAAACAAACAAAGCCGTGTTCAGTGTATAGCGCCATGTGACAATGTATTCGTCCACGCCACTTGCCAACTAGTTCGCGATTTGGTTTAACTTTGTATGTCGGAATGATGGAACAAAGCTTTCTAAATTATTTAATTGGAAATGGAAAAAAAATCTTTACAAATAAAGAAAACATTTTTAAGTTGGTAACATTTCAGCTCTCCATTGTGTTAACTAAATGGGACTCAAACAGAGGCAGGAAGTAGAGGCACAAGATGATAATCTGGTGCATGGATACTGTAGTCTGGAGTCTGGTAAAAACAAGAGGGGAAAGCAGAAGTGCTGGCTGTAAGAGGAAATCCTATCACCAACGGTTGGACAAATACAGTGTAAAAAGCCACCGGCCTCTGCTCAACCGTCACTGAGGAAAAATGTGATTCTGTGTCATTAAAAAAAGACAAAACAAACTGAACTTGTCACAATTAAACTATTTATCCATCAAAACGACGATGTTTACCATTTCACTGTTGAATGGATAGAGAAAAAAAAGATTCTAACGAACAAAGGACCAATGTTTGTCATCAGCATCATTCTTTGGTTAAAACATGAAACGACTGCTCACAAGTTAATCACAAGGCAGGGATGTCCCAGGAACCTCCGCCCGGAGAACATACAGAACACCCCAAAGTCATGTGATGATAACCAAGTGGGTATTTATGGAATAAAACACACACAGGGGCATAAATAAACATTTGTAATACACACGTTATTCATTATTATTATTTATACAATGCATTTATACAAATTCTACTCTCGTTTCGACATACAGTATAGCTAAGACACAGGGGGTAGTAGTCTTGAATTACTGCTTGACGTTGAGAGATTAAAATTTTTAACTGGCCAATCGCATTTGAAATAAAATGCGTTCAAGTTAACTCAACTAACCACAGAGTCAGGGATTGCCAAAGTGGAGTGTACGAGCTGCCACTAGGGGGTGTGCGAGATAGAAAAAAATGTGGTGACTTTTTGGAGTGGGTTTTTCTTAGTAGGGTTTTTCCACACACTAAAGATGTGTGGGTTCAAAATTTGGGAACCATTGCACTAAAACATGTTATTTTGTTATTTTCTTTAACCTCTATCAGGCATGTGGATAAAAATACTCGTCAATTGCTGAACGAAGGCAAGTTTATCAATTATTTTATATGATTGACCATTATAAAATCCTCTCAGAATGCTAATACTTTTACACAAGTTGTAAACAATGTTGCCAAAATAACTTACGTTCAACAAATTGTATTACATTTATCGTTTTTATGCACAAAATCATTTTTTTCGTTCCATATAAAAGGAGGAATACTTTTCAAATCTATAAATTTGAATATTTATTCATTGTTACCAACTGTCTTATACACTAGTGACAGGGTAATGTGCAGATGAAGAGACTGCACTCGTACATTCATATTTTCCTATGCATGAGAACGGGGTCATATGACACACATGTGATAACATCAGTGATATTCCAACAGAAACAGTCACAGAAATCACTCAGAGAGTGGAATCCTCCCCCAAGGCTGATCAGTCCACCACCATATCATCGCACAATAGATAACAGTTTTCATGAGCAAATAATTTGTCAGTACTCAGCCACATTCCAGGCCTTAGGGCCGTAATCTATTGGACAGTGATACTTCCATTAAGATCCTTCTTTTAATTTTTTTTATGACATTTTGCCTAATCGACACCTACTGTAACTGTGAAGGAAACAATTAATTCATTGTACCGGTATGCAAGCCCCCTCCCATTCCCCCCAACCCCCCGCGGTACATTTGCTGTTCTGAACAAAAACAGCAGTATTTTTGAAGGACATCCAAATATCAGCACCATTTTTTTTTTTTAAGCCGCCGAAGAGCACAGTATCCTAATTTGGTCTCCACAGAAACCTCAACCATCGCTCTGCTGCCCACTGTGTGTCCATGAGTGTACCCTACACCCCTGGCCGGGCTCTTTAAGACCTTGTGCTCAGTTCATCAAAACCTCAGTGGGAACCAATACAACTGCCTCAGTCTGCCAGCGCTCATATCCAGCTGTTAGACTAAACAAGATTGCTGGCTGAAGATTTGTGGTCAACAGTCAGCAGAGTAAATGTCAGGCTGACTGGAAAGCTGAAGAAATGTCAGAGCGTGTTTGGGTCTTGACGCAGCACTGGTATTTAAAAAGTCATTGTTCAACCGATCTGTTTAAAAGCCTGGCCGACTGGAAGTAGATTTGAGCATGAACTAATGTTTAATCCAGGAACATGATCTCACCGTCTGGTGATATAATGGTTAGATATCACCAACAAAAGAACAGGCTTTAAAAAGACTTCCTAAAAAGACGTTAGAGTTTTCTAAGATCTCTCTTCTCTCACCACTGTATTTAAAACTCCTAAACTAAGTAGTCATCTTTTTTTTTTAATGAATCAATGAATAACCATTGTACCCAGTTAGTGTCAAGATATTTTCATGTACAAGATTACATTTTCCACAGAAACCCATTTAAAGGGAATATGTTTGGACAGATGGCAGTCATAAAAATAAACTGGACAGTACGTCAACTCCATGGATGATGGACGACTTCCATTTACCCTCCTCAGTTACAGTGTTGACTCACTGTCACACCGTGCTGTCTTATACAAATAACACAATAATTGTTTTCCTTATCTCTGTCCGTATATGACTGTGAGGACAGCTACTTTATTAACAAATCCACTAGAAAAATCATATACATATATGTATATACACTATATGTATCTGTTTATGTATATATACAGTATCTAATGGCCAGAAATATCAACAAATAATAATATTTCGTAAAATAAATAATTAATTGTAATAATATTAATCATGATTGTAATAAATCAAGATTAATCATGAATCATGACAACTCAACATTCTCCAACCTAAATAAAATGGACATGAAAACGTTGTATCGAGCCATCCCTAGTTTTAACTGTGCAGAAAGGTGTTAGCAGCGACACTGTAGTGAGGGAAGAGCAAGAGAAGGAGTGGCAGCAGTGAGGCCAGGTACCATTAATGGACTGGACACGGAGAGAAGGAGTAAAATTGGAAGTGACAAAGCCGAGATAGGAGACAGGATGGCAGGGAGGATCAGCCATAGGTGTCCTGCATGTGGAGAGTGTGATAAACTGGAAGGACAAGATTAAGGAGTTCTGGGCAGGTTCTGAGAGAAGATGGTGGAGAAGGCTTTGGAACAGCCAGATGAAGCGTCAGAGACATGATGTTTAAAAAGCAGTCTCTCTACAGAGTCAGATGCTGAGGCTTGGGAAACATGGAAAAGGAATCAGCAGTGAACATAAAGAAGTAACCAAGAGCTACCTTAAACCACAACTTCCCTACTACCAGTTAAACAGGTGCGATAAAAGCAGAAATGAATGTTTTGTTGTATTTATATCACAACAATGATTTATATTACTAATTCTAATATTTAAATACAATTAAAGTGGAGGTTATCTATTATCATCAATTAGCCCTAGCTGCTGCTGCTATTCTGGAACCCTCAGGGCAAAGACACACATCTGCCAGAGAACACTGAGCTGTGTGCAATTGTCCTCATTTTCTTATTTGCAAGAACAATATCATATTTCAGACATTAATTAAAAGCAAACGCACATCCATGCACCTACAGACACACACACGTGCACATGACTGCGGTTTCCCCATGTAGCAGGCCATGTGTTTTTAATGAGGCAATCAGACATGTGAAGGTTGGACAGTGTTTTATTGGCTTCTACAGACAGTAGCATTTAATAGGTTTACTCATGTGTGGCCCAGAAGGGTTGTTGTGATTGGACGTCACAGGATTTCTTTTAAATAAGTTAAAATATATTATCACATGAACAAGAGTTAATGTCGCAACAGGATGACGAAGCGTGGTCTGTACACTATTATTGGGCATTACTCTCATGTATTAATGTATGTACATACAGTACATTCATTCAGACCTGTATTCTAGAATTGGAGAATAGATGCTCCGCCATTATATACATGAAAAACACTGGTGTAGCTGAAGAATTTGGTGCGTTGTTTGTTTTGGCTATACAGGGGGTCCTCAGTTTACGACTATGGCGTAGCCATCACCCATGAATTTATTAAAAAAGTCTTGTTCTGTCAGTCCAACATATGGCGTTAAAACAAATGTTCGCACAGGAAGTAGTTGGGAAAGCAGACAAATTTGTCACCATGTGGTGCTATACGCGAAAAATGGTTTGTTTATATTCACCGGTTGTACGCCATACACTGGACTGTGCTTCTTTTTTTGTGTTGTTATTTTGGAAACTTTTTTTCCCTTCTTTATGGCTTCCAGGCATAAGTCACACTCTTTTGATGTTTTTGTGTCCTGATTTCTACTGTGTTAGCCTAAGTGGGAGACACAGGTACTTGTGTGTGAGGTCCGACATACAGCGAAAAACCAGTTACTGAGCACAGTTGGAACAGAGTTCCATTGTCAAGTTGAAGACCCCGTGTATATGTCACCACTGCCACAAACATTGATCACTTTGGCAGACACTATTGTTCCTCCCTGTTCAACAACTCTTGGTCCTTACCGACCCCATTGAGAACAGGACAGTGGTATTATCATTTTATCAAGATTAATACCTGTGCCTTATTCCCATCGTAAGTATAAATCTCTAAATGTTAAACATGGGTGCAGTCTTTACGAAGTCTGTGTCTTTTATTTAAATTATTTCGATCCATCTGGTTTTTCAAGCAAGAGCCATACGCTGTGGTTGCTCTAGCTTGGTGCGGAATTTATGGAGAAACCGAGAGGCTAATTCGTCATCCACTAGTCTTCCATCACTTGACAATGTAACCGTCATGAGGTGCTGAGTGCGCAAGGTCTGCTCATCTTCACTGAGCTGCAGCTCAGCCCTGGAGGTTCCCACAGCCAGAATGCAGGCCTGAGGAGGGTTGATCACTGCACTGAAGCCACTGATGCCAAACATCCCCAGGTTGGATATGCTGTCAGACAGCAAAAGATTACAGCCAGTGCAGAAAAGACATTTGTGCCCAAGTCAGAAGAGGAAGAGACAATAAAAAAAGGTAATTCTAAAACAAGATCATGTTTCCTGAAGCAGAAGAAAGTGAAGGGGAAATTAAAGTAAGTAAATTAAATTTACAGATGGCTGTAAACATATACCCTTAGACTAATCAGTCCAAATTATGACAGTATAATGACCATATCTCCATCTCCATTAATGCAGTGTATGGTTGGTGAGACTGACCAGATACACTTTCTCATTTGTCAAAATGAGAATTCTAGCTCTAGGGGAAATGGAAATTAAGAGAAGCAGGGCAAACACACACATCCTCCGGGACAGCAAGGAAGGCTGCAACTCTAGTAGGAATACATTTGTCCTGCCTGACACAGAAACCCCATTTATGTTAGTACGCCACTGTTGATTCTAATGAGCTGAAAAGCTTCCCGTTTCACAATGTTTTCTTTTTAATGCAAAACGTAATTATGTCCTATTAATAATTACGGAACTTCAATTAGATTTTTCAGGATTTCAAGATAAAAAGCCCCGACTTCATGCTATCATGCTACCATCACAGTTCTTGGTTGTGCACATGGCAGATATACAAGAGAATCTGTTGTCGTGTACCATAGAAAAAATGATTTAACTTATTACTGAAAACTGTTATTTATTTACTGAAAATAATCTGTCTTTTTTTGTAAATGTGACATGCACAGCAATTAATTGTTGAGCCATTAGGCAGCTGCAGGTGGCTATAAAATGCTGCTGTTAAAGAAGATCTACCTGTGTGTCTTTCTTCAATTCATCAGTCTTATGCTCAACTACACAGGCCCAGGTTTCACACTAAGGTAAGGTGAATTCTGAGCAAAGTGGAACTAGATATCATTATATTGCATTACATATACTTTCCGTGTATTTATATATATACATATATATATATATATACCGTGTATTTATATATATACATATACATACATATATATACACACACATATATATATATATATATATACATATACACACACACACATATATATATATACATATATTACCTGAATGAACCTCCTTGGTATTCCTCAGGTAGAAGCTTTCCATCTCGAGCCTTTTGGGCCAAAGCCTGTGAAAGGAAAACTGCCAATTACTCAGGTAGAAGCTTACAGTTTTTACGTGTGAAATACCTAAGCAGCAACCAAATGACTACTTTAAAAAGTTAATTATTGTCCTTGATGCACAGCACATCACTGCAAACAATCAAATATGTCCTCTGCTTTTGACCTATCACCATAGGTGGCGCTGGAATCCTCGGGCAGCAGTATGTAGGGCCGGTCCCATGCTAAGTGCACCTTAGTGGCACCTGGTGGTTGGTGGATTTCAACCTTCCGCCTCCTAAACCACCAGGCCACCACTGCCCTAAAAGGCTAACATTTAAAAGCCTGTTTAACAATCAACATAACTTAACCCTATATGGACTACCTTAGCGTGGGCGGAGATCTCCTGCACTCCTTTGTTTGCTGCGTCTTTAATGATGGGAGTGATCAGGCCTTTATCAGTGGCTACTGCGATGGAAATATGGACTGAATCCAGAGGATGGGGTCCATCACCAGACCAGGTCACATTGACTTCAGGCATCTCCTGAGATAAAGAGTCAACCCATGTTGTCAAAGATAACAAAAAATATGCAAAGACCCACGGCAGTTGTAAAGTATGTCTATAAATATATAGATATATATATGCTGTATATATATGTAAAATCAAACGATATCAACCCTTCTGTAAACAAACAGTTTAAACACTGAGAGAAGACATAACAACATATAACATATACGGGACATATAAAAGCAGAGATTATTTTACATCGACTTACTTTGAGTGTGACAGCAGCTGCCTTGATTATGAAATCATTTACAGAAACTTTGATCTGTTCTGAAAAGACACAGAACATGACTCTGGATCAGCATTAGTGTGTTCTAATTTAACATCCAAACAGAATAAAATGACAAGACGTCGGACATCTGATAACCAGGGAAAATTATATCAAGAGCCAACTTCCTAAATAACAAACGTTGAGAAGGTAAAATGTACTAAATGTCTCCATTTTAGATTCACAATTACAGGAAAAAAGGAAGAAACAGAAATCAGTATCGTTAAAAGTATAGTTTTCCCCAAAGACGTTGTGCAACATCCCCCTTTTGTAGATAGGTTCGTGGTGGAAACCAAACTCAAAAAAAAAAAAAAAAAAAAAGAAGAAAAAAGTCACTTAAGGTGCACATGTTCTGCTTTTTAAAAGGACATTAAAAACTGTGAATTTTAAGACACACACCTCACAGTAAGACATACTCGACAGGGGTTTCACAACAACTGCAGTTTGCTAGAGGGCCGTTGCCAGGAGATGTAAAGCAGAAATGAAACCAAATACCTGTCAAAGTAGGAAGTCATGACTACTTCCTGTTACTGAAAACCTAACATCTGTGATACTCTGACAGTAAGTGTACTATGTCTACTTAAAAATGGACAGAGATGTTTTCCAGTCGGCAAAGAAAAAAGACTGAGTGCACAAATTGATTTGAAATACTTTGAGGCAGAGACAAATAAAATGACTGTACTTGACACTGGATTACTAGCAGGTATTTAGCAAACGTTGATGTGTGACATGAAGTGGAATATTTAAAACCAAAACCACCAAAGGTACCACCAGGTCACCACCAGTTTCCGCTTCCTAACAGAGGCTATGTGGCAAAGTTGGCCCCAAATTCACCTTTGAAGTGCTTGAACATGTGATATGACTGCTGTTAGTTTACTTCAAGCCTTAAAGTGAACTAAGAGCAGTCACATTATGTGTCGAAATCAAGGTCCGCGGGCCGTTAGTTTCTGTGGAACGTTTCATTTACCCTATAATAAAGTCTATGCTTCAGAGCATATATTGATCATGAATTACAACTACAACAATGCATTTCTTAGAGCTTTGACATTCTAAACAAACATATACATTTAAGTTCAGTAAAAACTATAACATAGGATCATCTAATACCGAAAGGAAAACCATCAATTTGGGACATCCCCAAATAATTATATATAGAGAGAGCATGGACAGACAAAAGGGGATTTTATATCTGCTGTATGAGAAAGTGACGCAAGACTCCATGTGGAATGAAGAGAGCAGTCTCAGTGTGAGCCACACGGACAATCTCAGCTTTGTTAAGTTGGAAGTCATGTGAAAACCATGGAATTCACATCTTCGTGGAGGAACTTCTTTTTCCAGAATGGCTTTTCTGTGTTTTAGCTAGGGTCTCCTGTAAATGATAGATAACCAATCTGAAAGGCACAAGTCTTGTTTATTTACCTTTAGCCATGTCTTTACGGAGCTGCATGACAGCAGCCATGTCACAGTCAACGGACGCATACGCATGGGGAATAGTAGTCTTTGACTGTGTTAGCCTTTGAGCAATGACACGGCGGACATTTGAAGTTTGGATTTCAGTGAAAGTGCCCTGAAAAGAAAAAGAAATAGAAGGTTTGTGAAGTTAGCTTCTGACAAAACAAGCAGGAATAGAAGTCCAACTGATAAGAACTGGGAAGTTATAGTGAACATAATTAGAACTAATCCAGCTGTAGTTCATTAGCTATAGCAGATATGCTAAATGCTACATGGTTAAAGGTCTGACTTTTAAACTGCCTTATTGGCTGTTTGAAAGTAAGTGACGATTTGCAGGAATAAAAAAAACAACAATGGTTTGCATTGTGTAAAAGATTTTAAGTCCTCATTAGACAATTTGAACCACATCAATATTTAGATCGGTTACCAGCAAAGGCATCTTAATTTCTCACTATTGTATTCTGAAAAGTTGTATGTTATCATTAAATGAGGAGGTTATGACTTCCTGTTTTATATAGATGCTGCTACTCTTTATAAGTAAAAAGAAGAAAAAAGTTTCAGAAATGCTCACTGGGTGCTCCGGGTTTTCCTGGTACAGAAAGTGGGGGGACATTGGGTCTGGTGCCTGGGGGTGAAGGTGTAGCTGCTGGGGTGGAAACAGGTCGTGGGGCAGGTGGAGCAGCTGCAGCTGGTTGTGCTTTGGGGGCAGGAGATGTCTTCAAAAGATTTAATGCATCTCTGCAAAGCAAATGAGAATATAAAAGTCAAACTTGAATCAAATTTAAATATATATATATATATATATATATATATATATATATATATTATTTAAATACATATTTTTATCCTGGGAGCTAAAAACGAACTTTCACGATAAAACAACACAACATTCCTTTAGGATGAGAATAGTGGGATCTTTATAAATCTTCTACCAAAATAAGCCAAATTACAGACGATAAAACAATGCAGAATTACATGTAATGAACCCTTTAGGTTTTCTTCAGTTTCTGTTTGTCTAGTTCCTGTAATTTGTCCACTGGTAGAAAAGGCAACGTGGGAATATATTGCACACATGTCACAGATGAAACCCATGCTGCAGGGATGGGATCACATTTGTTTCAGTCTCCATTGTTAAATGATGGTCACGGCTGTTGCTTAAAGACTTGTCATTGCAACCAGTGTCCTCAACATATATAGTTTAAGGTGCTACAGCCAGGCTACTTAAAATGCACATCTCTGTTCTGAGCTCCACAGACATTTTGTTCTTGTTGTTCCTACATGAATTCTGCCGACCAGTGACCAGTTCCTCTTTTACTCTCATTGATGATGATTTGTGCTTAAATCCACATACTTAGATACTTAGGTATCGGATTGGATGGGCTATAGTTATTTTTTGAATGTTCAATTGGACAGATACAAATATCGAGTATCAGAGCTTGCCATCCCTAGTTTCTGAACGGTTAAGGAAGATATACGCCTTAAACACATAGTTTGACAAAATAATTGTTGGAAAAAAATGTTGCTGGGGTCTAAAACTCAGTAATAAACAATATACTTTTATTTTAGCTTTTGGGACAAATCAATAAAACAGGATTGCACCAAGGCAATATAACTCTTACTATTTTATAAGTGTATGATTTAAAGAATTCTATACAACGTAACATTTTTACTATACACCAAAACAAACAAACAAAAAAAGATATGCCCAAAAACATAGTCTTTATTTGGTCACCAGTGGGAACCAGAGAATTGGTTGCTATGGTGACAAGTGTTGCTATATGAGTTTCCCCAGCAGGATGTTTGGTGTGTAACAAGAACATTCAATCAGATCCCAGCTGACAGCAGGGAGTAATTAGAGGTGGGTGCATTTGTGTGTGTGTGTGTGTGTTCACCGCTGTCCTCAGTTTGAAGACACAATCAAACACTTTAAGACCAAACCTTTTTAACATTTCATTTTTGGATTGTAACTTAGGTTTCATGAATATAATCATCAATGTACTGTGTTCTATACTTTTTCCTCCATAAGAAGTGCAAAACATAACAAAACTGTTTCATTATGAAATAGTGGGTTATAAAGAAGGAATGTCAGCAGAAAACAACAAAAAAAAAAAAAAAGATTTCACACCCCCAGTGATACCCACTCTTTTGTGATAAGTCCTTTTGGCCCAGTGGCTGTAACCAGTTTTGGGTCTAAACCATGGGTGTCCAAGATGTGTCGCGCTGCCGGACTGAGGCGTAAGCTAAAGAAGAGAAAAGACGAGTAACACCAGTAAACAAGAGATCACATCAGTTAAGGGAAAAACAGGAATATCGTGAGCTTGCAGAAACAACTGTGGTTGACAACAAACACACTTAACCATCTACTAAATACTGTATATATAAAATAAACTAGAGGTTCAAACTGCCATCTGTTTCACTTTGTCTTTATCGCCCACGGTGAAAATATTTTCGCATCAAACTTCAAATTAGTTTTATTAAGATTGACAGATTGATATAGTCATTTTCTGGCTGTGTTTTCGAATATGTTTGGAAGCTGCAAAACACACTCACAATCACACTGCTGTCAGTCAGAAGCAGCCAAGCAGCAAAACTGAATACTTAAACAGACCTAGTGTAAAATATATGCATAAACAATAATCTGTGATGGAGTTTTTTATACACTGCACTGGGACAGAAGAAAAAAAAGGTCACTTGGTGACAGCTATCCTCAACCCTTGGTTCATGGACCACAACCAGTCATTTTGTACTGGGACAGTTTTTTTTCCCACTTGCTTTCTTCATTTAAAGATAATCTGGCATATTTTACTATCTACAGTTGCAGTGCTACTGGTGTGCAGTATCAGCCGGTACTGCCCTTCCTTGGTGCAAAAAAGGATGGGAATGTCTGCCGTATCTAGTCGTTGTATGTTGACACTAATATCCCTATATTCTTATGCATGTACAACTCACTTAACTCCTGAAGTATTAGCCAATTACGACGTATGCTCTCTACGGAAATGGTCCACATTGTGAACAGTATGAATGTATGGAATATTATCACTCACGGCCCTGTCATGGCTTCTTTTGGTGGGGGAGGAGAAGAGAACGCAGCGGGAGCTATAACTGGGGCAGTAGCTGCATGTGTAGCAGGTGGAGCTGCAGATGGAGCTGGAGCATCTGGGGGTGGAATCTCAACCTGCTTCCAGTCCTGCCCTTCCTCCACCATGAGGGCAATGAGAGTTCCCAGGCGCACATTGTGACTGCCCTCCTCCATCTGAAAAGAGGGCGAGAGAGGTAATTATGAGAGTTGGCAAAACCAATACAGTAGTATACAAATAAAACTATTATTAGCTTAGCATGGGAGTGTTCTCCTACTGGATAAAAATAACTGAATAGGGAGGAAAATAAAAGAGGAGAATGCAATGATTACATTACATCAGTCAACCCAGTGCCTGCTGTAAAGATGAACATCCATCAGTCATGATCAGTAGATCTTCTAACTGTGGCACTGCAAACGCCTTCACATAAATTCCAGACCCATTATTGTCTCACTGTGAACATGTCAGATCCTTAACTCTGCTGCAATGAGCTCTTGGAGTGAAGTGATGTGTTTTAATGCTGTCAACCATTGATTCTTCATTTCGACCGTAATCCGAGTGCAAGGAAGCCACATGCTGCTCTCCCCAAAGGTGATGTTCCTCAGTCAAAATTGATCAATATAAATGAAGAAGAGTGGATGATAATCCACAGGACGACAGCTCTTAATATCCATCTGGATTGGTTTTTACGCAGAGTCAAATCTTGTGAATAGAGCCTAATACGATGAAGAAGCTAAAACTATGAAGAAGTCTGTCTGTCCCTCTGGGTGACAAATCCCATAATAAAATATACATGGACCCCAATATAGTGAGGAGTCAAAATACATACTTATTTAACTGTTTCACTCTCAGTCTGCTCTGATTAACATGTCAAAGCGCTGAATATATCAAAGGTATCAGAGGATAATGCACTAGTTTACCAGAAAGATCTCTGTTCTACTGTATTCAAAACAAAAACATTGTCGATTTCTGCATTTGTTTTCACAAAAAATATATTTCACTTTTGACAATTGTCACTACATATTTCAGAGGTACAAGGCAGCCAAATAAAGATAACAAAGTCAAAAAAGACACAATCCGGATGGTAAAATGCACAGATAAACTGCCATGGGAGTAATTTCTGCAAACACATGTTTTTCTGCAAATGTCATCAGTCTCTGTCTTGTGGACACAGACACAGTTGCAGTGCTGCTTTTCTGTAGATAGTATTATTGTTTCACTCATCTATGCAACCACAGGCTTTACTTCAAAACTCCACTGTACTTTATTTAAAATACATTCCTGCACAAACAAATAAGATACCAAAACAGAAATTCGATGGCCTTGGTGACCCTCTCCACCCTAAATAAATGAAAACGGAAAAGAGCCCCCCGGTCAGAGGCGTGGATTTGATGGTCAACACACACATACACATACACACACACACACACCAATATTGTACACCAGTACATATACACGGACAAACCCTCCCCCGTGACAACAGTTTGTGGTTGTCTAAATAAAAGGTTATTCAAAAATGTCTCAAAATTCAGCTGCAACTTGAATTACACAATTTCTTATTTGGAACATGAAAAAAAGTCTTTCAGCTGACTGAATTTTTGATGTGCTGGTTAGGTACTGTTACTTTTTTACATCTTGGTCTGGATGGGGCTAAAACAGAGAGTAGTGCAGTAGTAATGACAGATGAGGATCAATTAGAGGCGGCTTACGCACTTACACACTTGTGATACACATATGACAGCTACCATAAGTGCATGGTTATACTCTAAAGCTGACATCGTATGTTCTGCAGCAATCCTGCAGTGGAGATGCACTGTCTGATAGACACACTCACACAGGCAGCTCAGTGGAGCTCAACACTGCCACCATATGGTGGTAAACCCACTGAAACATATATTTAAATATGCGTTCAGGGAGTATTTGCACTTAAAGACACTATTACTTTATTTAGATAACAAACCTATTTGACAGGACACTAAAGGCTGCTTTTAGTAGTATCATTTTAAATCTTGAACAATACAGTCCTCAGATAAGGGTCACAGACACAGTTACTGTAGCTGCTTCACAACATGTGACTAGAGACATTTTCTTTATTTGACCTGTGTATATTTAAGCAATACAATTCCCTTGAGTGTCTAAACAGCTCCCTTACAATCAATACTGAACTTTAACTGGGATGCTGTGCTGTGTTTAACAGATGTAATATTATGGTTGCAGTAAATTAGGCGATGTAGAGGACACATGATTGATTTGTGAAAACAGAGGAAGGGCAGTTTGTGTGTGTGGATCAGTGTTTCTCCAACCACTGATCCAACACTGTGTGCCTTGAAAGACCATCATGTGGGCCATGGAAATGTTTCCAATTTCACTTAATTGGTCTGAAAACGATTACATATTTACTGCAAATGATCTATGTGACAGTGATTGAGAGAAAACAAAATACTGGCAAAAAATAGACTCAGTGATGCCTAACTTGTGAAATCAGTGAGTCATATATATATATATATATATATATATATATATATAAATATACACATATATATACACACACATATACATACATATATACATACACATATATATATATACATACTGTATATGCCCCATAATATAGCAATCATTGCTATTCATTGCTAATTAAAGCAGTCTGCGGGATGTAACAAATGCATACACTACACCTATCAATCCTTTATTACCAGTACATGTAATTTGACATACATATGCGTGCAGCAGTAGTGCACATCTATTTGTTGCATGTGCTGCATGCATCCTTTCCTACAGGCTGTGATTGATTGTACCCAAGGCAGATTTTCAGATTGAAGCCCTTAGGTCAGGGTAAGGCAACACAATTAGAGTATGATGAGATTCAGCAATGTGTGCCTACCCCAAGCATCTTCTCAAAACTGGAAACCCGTCCATGGCCGCAACAGTATTTGACCCTCATAAATAACCCAGATGGTACACACCTACAAGAACCTGTCAAGGCATTTTAGCCACAGGCGGGTAATTACCAAAGCTTTTAAATTACAATCTTAATGGGTGCTTGGGGGTTACACAGTTACAACACCAGGGGCTGATACACTCTGATCCAGCCAAAGTGGATGACATTTTGTCTGGGCATTTTTGTGTAAAAATCTCTGAAATAATGCCAGAAGCTGCCATTTTCTTTAATAAGTGAACGCGTACTCCACATCAGAGTGAGAGAGGGGTCTTTCTCCGAGCTACAGCATTTACCACTGTAGGCCTTTGCACCCAGTTCTTCAGTGGTTACCAAGGAAACTACCTCATCCCTATGGCAGCATAGACAAGGATGGAGTAAGTAAATGTGGGGAAGTGAAAGCACATTAAATGAAGGCAAAGGGGAGAAAACGATCTGGGTTTCTATTTAATAATATATGGTAGTATTTCTGGCTATTTATTAAACCAATGGCCAATAGCTTTGGTTACAAAAAATTAAACCATAGATTCTTCATAAAAAAGTGCATCTGGGCTGGTTTTATAACATGAATGTGCTGGTTAAATATGGAATAGATTGGTGTGGTGATGTGGTTTTTTGTGGTTCACAGACACATCGCCTGACTAACCTCTGCTCATATTATGGTTTTAGCAGAATGTGAGCAGGGTTTAATCAGATGACCACCGAGGGAACGGCAACCACCATCACTCAGTTTATAAAACACAAACATCTCACTGGAATTGTATCCAGCAGCAACAGCTGGATTTTCTGCTCAAGCACATGTTGGAGTCATGATGAATGGCTCTGTTGTTGTAGTGTATACAATATTCAAACAACAAACAGCACAAAGGGGGAAGGGACAAAGAGAAACAATGCTCATTAAAATTGGAAGGATGATGAGAAAGGAAATGTAATCTAATTATAGTAAACTGCCATAATCATCGGATTCTCATATTGTTGATGGTGACGGAACACACCTCGTATGACAGCCACAAACTGAGCATAACGACGTCACAATCTGTGTAGACCTGGTGGTTTGCATCTGTTATCAAGTTGCTCTGCTCCTCATGCTAGTATGTAGCTTTTGTAGCTAGTGCAAAATAAACAGGTTTTGACAAGAAAAAGACTAAAAGAGCAGACCAACAGTTTATTATTATCATGCAATGCTGTTTGGGGACCTTGGCATGGAAAAGCTTGGGAACCCCTGTTTTTATTTAATCTGTGGACATGGGAAACAGCTCTGTACGGACAATTAGCATTAGCAAAGCGCTGACTGTTAAGATACAAATTAAACCTAGATAATATTGAATAACATTATTTTTAAATTTAACAAATGAACACACGCTCACATTTAGCTTTCAACAGTGGCACAGAAACCCACCTAAATCTGAAAATAAATTCTGTCCAATCACACTGTGCAGAAAAGACCTTGGGGTTTCTTACCAGGATCTTTGCCAAGACACCATCATCATTAGATTCCATGGTAACAACCGCCTTGTCAGTCTCGATCTCACAAAGGGCATCACCTGCTGCCACTGCCTCACCTAGGATTTAAGAAAAAAAGCAGCATGAACATTAAATGTTCAGATTCATTTGACTCATGAATGCAAGTTAATTATCCTGTTGAAATTGCATGCATTGGCAGAATGTTGGAGGTACCAGACAACTGATGTAAGGAACAATCTGTTCCGTCTGTTGCTGACATATCAGATGAAGAGCCTTATCAATGTTTCATGAGAAAGAATGTGAGATAGAGAAATTAAGTATGCAGGCCTTTCCTTTGAGTTCTAGTAAATTCTCAATGGCTACCTCATGGGCTTCAAACTAGAATAGATTAGCATATGTTTAGCAGTAGAAATATAGGATGGATAGGCTTTAACAGCTACTGTTCACTTTCTCTGTATTCACTTTGTTACATTTACATATATGTTATTATTTCAGTGGTACAAAAGCAAGAAAAGAAAACACCCAGTTGACTGTAATCTCCTAAAGACAAATGTTTCACCTGCTCGGTGGACAAATGTGTAGACACATTTGTCCATTGCTTTGTGCACTGCAGACAACTACACCTTTGACAGACACAGAACCAAATTATTTTAATGAATGTATAGACTATTGTGTTACGGAAAGCAAAAAAAAAAATACTGTACTAGAGTACAGTATACTGTAGTATACTGTACAAGCATTGCTTATACTGTATGCCAAGGGCTAAATGTGATACCATTTGCTATTTCTAGTAAGCAATTATTGATAATCTGCAGTATATTTTTCTTAAGTCTGGTCAAGGTTTTTGGACCTAATGTATCAATTTTAAATCTGATAGATCACAGGGTAGCTGTTAAATAATTAATTAATCTACATTCCTTAATGAACAACAAAAAAACACTTTTTTCCTGTTTATTGCTGGAAGAGAAACACAAACGACAGCAGGTGATTCATCCCTGTTTTATTTGTAACTAACCAAATGAATTATTGATATATATTGAAAAATGTCAAGAAACAATACCAGAGTATAACTAAAACATTTTTGGCTCATGGAGTTGGTGGATTTTAGTCCTCACTGTGTATCCTGATGATGCCTTGTTGAAAGACCTTGAGAGTCGAAGCATTTAAACCATCAGTAAAGCTGTTGTTCTAAATATTTCTACAGTCTGAAATATATTTGGTTATTGTTTCAGTCAGTTTGTCAGCCGTTGAAATGTAACTAAATGATTATTAAAGTAACCTTTCGGAAATAAGTAAACAGTAAAGTAACTGGATTACCTTTTTGGAGAAGTAATCAGTAATCACTACTATTTCCAAGTAACTTGACCAACACTGGTAAGAAGGGGATGGATGCTTGCATGTGTTATAATGTGTTGAAATTACTAATCTGATTTATCTTTACAAATTATACAATTTTGACAGTCCTGTACTTAGTGCCACCTATTTGCTACATGCTCAATGGTGAACAACACATAATACTGTAATGATTGCACAAAGACAAACATTTGTCCCATTAAAATAGCAATTCACCAATTTTGTTGAAGAAAAGTGAAGCAGTAGTGCCAGTAAAAGTAGTGTTAATTTTTTATGTACTGGGATAAATCACGTTTCATCAGCAGAAGCATTAGAAATAGTCAATACATTGTGGTCATTTATTTAATTTAATACATGCTTTCTAGTTTAAGGAATTGTGATGTGATTGAGAAGTATTTATGATGCATGCCTATTTGATGACAGGTGGTGAAAAGACAATGGTCTATGCTGTATAGATTAAGGTCAAAGGTCACCCGGGCTTGACTTTCAATCAGTCCTAATTTTTTGAAAATATAGCAAGGGATTTTGAATTTAAAAGTTAAGCAATAACATCAGTAAAAATAAAATGCTGTAATATAAATTAACGTCTAAATTGAAAAAGACATGTGACTATATTAAAGGCAGCCTATTCAAAGCTCTCGTGGACAGGGAAATGGCTGGGTCATGGGAAGTGTTTCTAGGATGGGTGAGGGGAATGCTCAGGGAGCAGAGGAAGTATTGATGTTGGAAACCCCTGAGAGTAAACAGTAGTGGAGTCAAGATTGGATTTGTATGAGGTTTTAACACCACATGACCCAAGGGGTTAGGTGCAATGCGAAGCATTAAAGATTAAACACGTGGCCCTGAGACTATTCTCATCTTTTTAATGGCAGAGAAAATGAACAACATATTAAGAAAACGAGATTTTTTATCTCAATAAATGATTATTGTAAAACATAATATAAAAACACATAGCACATCTATTTCACACTAAGCTCACATCAGACCTGTTTATATTTATTACCACTGTTGTCATCCTGCTACACAGCACGATTCATCATGTTTATTACAAAATAAGATGGAAACCAAGATAAATATCTGATTATATGCAAAATCCATAGAGTCTATACTAAGAGCTTGTTATATAGGTTATAAAATAGATTTGGAAGCAAGACAGCATTCCCCTGATCACTGACACTTTCAACATACACATACACCTGGTCCCAGCCTGAGCCACAGAGCCACATGGCAACATGGCAGAGCAGCCAATCAGAATTCAGTATGCTGCTTCCTGATAAATTAGAGTGTGACTGAGGCGCATGGCTGGGCAGAGTTGCTAAGCAGTGATAAATTGTGACTACTGTTCTTTCTGGAACCAATGAGCCACCAGAGACCCCAGGTGCTAAACTGCACATGCTCCTGCCATACAAAGGAAAGAAATGTCAAAGATTTAATGATAGGCTGGTGTGCATCATGAGCCATTGTCTTTTTTTATGTGACGTACAAAGACAGCACACATGTGAATTTTTAAATTACAGTATGTCTTGTAAAGGGAAAGAATACATATTTTCATAATCAACACACACAAGTAAAAATATAGCTTATGAATATTTGGACAATAAATTCAGCATCAGTTGTTGTAAAACAGACAAAAAATATGATAATACACTGGAGTAGTGTAGTTAGGTTTGGTTACCTTCTTTCTTCAGCCATTTGACAATATTTCCCATCTCCATGGTGGGAGACAATGCAGGCATTTGTACTTTGAGTGCGCTGACACCTACAGGATAGAAATAGAATGACAAAACTTACACTCCGGCAGCAGCACTGGTAAACAAAATGTCCCACTCGGCTTGTAAATAGGGCAAAATTACAGCCATGAAATAAATAATCCCCTCCAGCTATATCTGTCAAATTCAAGTAAGGTATGTGTAGGTCAAAATGCATCAAGAGCCAGGTGTGGGAGTGTTGGTGGCTAGGTAGGAAATTAGCCTCAGGGTTTAAAAAGGAACACTGGAAACTTGCTTATTGTAATCCTAGTTGACACACCACTGAGGACTGCAAAGATACAAACAGCCATGCAGGGCTTACAGGTCTTCTAGCTACCAACCCAGACCTTCTGTCAAAAGCCATAATTGTTTAGTACAATAGGGTAGCTGACTGCGAGCAATACGGTGGATCCTGAGTCTTCAGGCGGCCAAAAGGAAAGCTCAAATCAAAGCTGTGGTGTCTCATCTACTTAATCAGATAAATAAACTGCAGTCCTGCAGGTAAAAAAAAAAACACAGTCTGCAGCTGCTGTTACACTATCTGATATCAAACAATTTTTTGTTCGACAATAATTTCAATACATCCTGACATATAAAAAATACTTGAGATGATATATATTATATAAATATAATTGGATTAAAGACACATTCAGAGAGATCACCTTTTTAACCATATAAATGTTAATAATCAATTATAATAAATCCCAAGAAGAAATACTGAGAGTTTCATGATGAACAGTAAAATGAAGCATTGACATTAAGCAAGACAAAAAATCAAATATTTTATTAAAATGTTGCCGTGTGTAATATGATGCAATGCCGCCCTCTGCTGGGTATTGTCAAAATATTTCTATAACTTTGCTTCCTTTGTATTATTTGAAAATAATGAATGTATTACAGCACTATTTCACACGTTATGTAGGGTTAAACTAGTTAAATTGAGTTATATACAATAAGTGTCACTTATAAGACTCTGCCTGATTAATCACAACCTACTCATCTGTGATGCTTCTTTGGTTCTCACCACAAGATGCTTAAATAAACTCTTTTATGAAACATACATGTGGTTACTTTAGGGTCCAAAAAGTGACTAATGACATTATACTAAGTGTCTGATATTGTTGTATCATTGACCGACATTGTGCTTTTTCCCTCACTTACCAGTAAATTGTGCATACATTGAATTGATACAAGTATATCTACAAAGACCCATTTTTAACTTCAGGTGTGTATAAAGGCAGCAAGCTACAATAAAGCTCTACACAAATTTAATATATGTAGCCTATTAAAGAGCCACGGTGATCTATGGTTAAAACGCCTTAGCATCAACAGATAATGTGACTATATACTGCACAAAAGGAACAAGTAAACTTCAAATGGGACTGTGGGCAAGGAACGAGACTAGACTTTTCGTTAGGCATGCTTAATATAGAGGTTATAGAAAAATGAACTCTGATGTCATTTGATCATTTGTGATCATTTGTATAATTTGTATAATTTGTAGTCAATCCTGATTCAAACTTAAGGGGATCCAGCTTTAGACACGTTCGGTAAAACGTATATATTAAATTTAAATGCATTAACATCTCTCTCTTGTGTGCAGACCAGTGTGTGTTAGAAAAGGTAAACAACAATATACATCTACTGTAAAAATAACGATAATCCTGACATCCTAAACATTACATCTTAATTTAATAGCCACTTTGTTACATCTCAAAGCATGTTAGTAAGCAATTTAACAGTATGAGGATAAATAAATAAAATTATCCGCCCCCTAAGCAGAGGGTTTATTTTCTCATTTTCTTTAGTCAGTTCAGAATGTCATTATTATTCCTCCTTAACACTACACTCTACAGCTGTTCTCACAACTAAGCAACAAAGTCAACTACAGTATACAGAAGACAGAATATCGCAGAACAGGATAACGACATAATTGAACTCTGTCAGCACATACCAAGAAAACATGGTGATGAGAAGAAAGCTCGAACATGCTCCTGACACTGACTTGTTGGTCGCAAAGATTTAGTATAGGTAGATAATCTGAAACCAAAAACAATCCCCTGACGACCGAGACGCAAGGAAGCCGCCATATTGTCCTCCTCACGGTCGGTGAAACGTGTCCATTAAACTGCCTGACTGTAAAATAAAATAAGGGATAAAACGAACATATATTTATTCTGTGAACACTAACAACTATTTTGAGAGCATTAAACATTTTAAACCGAATGTGGAAACATTCCAGGTTATTTAGATTGTGTAACTATTTATAATTAATAGTTTTATAAAACAAGGCGGTGAGTAGTTTTTCTTTTCGGGTCCTTCAAGGACGCTTCTCCTTTGTTGCGTTCACGTTAGTTGCAACAGTCGGAATTTAAAAGCTTTACAACGGCTTACACATCTACTAAGACTAAATAATAATAATAATAATAATAATAATAATAATAATAATAATAATAATAATAATAATAATAATAATAATAATAATAATAATAATAATAATAATAATAATAATAATAATAATAATAATAATAATAATAATAATAATAATAATAATTATTATTATTATTATTATTATTATTATTATTATTATTATTATTATTATTATTATTATTATTATAACGTTTATAATTATTATATAATTATATTATATAATTATATATAATTTTACTTACCTAAAAAGGACCAACTACACCAAAACAACAAGACAGTCATTGTATGTGACTCACTTGAAGCTGTCATGGGGAAATAAACGTTTATGTAAACTTTCTTTTGGCATTGCAAGTTTTCAATTAAGTGTCAGTAATTGTCAGATGCATAACCTTTATTTCTCTTTTTAACACGTGTTAGCTGTCTTATAATAAAAAGGGGAAAAACTACATATTTTAGTAGATGTTTACTTAACTATACTCTTCTACAGAGAGAAAATGTAATTATAGTCATACTGTCCAGCTAATAAGTTTTGGCAGAAGGCCTCACAGGTCTATTTGGATTTGAATAGAAAAATGATAAGGCTGTCTGATAAGCCAGTGCTGCATACCTATTGAGAGGAAACAATAGCCCTACTGAGTAGGCATGGGACAGACAGAAACCCCAGCCAGCTGTCTCCATGCCTTTGGTTATGCTATCATTCACCACTTCCCATTATTTTCAGCTGATATCTATCTAATTGAAATAATATTTTCCCTTTTAAATTTGAAAAGGCTGTTGCAAGGTTAAAATTGTTGGGTGATATTATTTGCCTTTGTTTCTCCCTAAAACAGATTTTGCCCCATGACACAGACAAAAAAAAAAAAAAAAAAAAATCCTGACAAAACATCCTGTCATCTGCAGAGGCCGTTCTGGCCTGATCAGAAAAAAATAAATATTTGCATATGTATAACTTTACAGAGTAGTATGACCTGGAACCATGTATTAAATATATCTTGTCAAGGAACATTGGTTGTGTTTCTGACTAAAACACCTATAACTGGTTTGGGTTCATATTTTCCTGTGTGCCAGTAGCTGATACCAGTGCACTCATTCCGGGTTTTGGTAAGTACTTGTTACACTGGTCTAGGTGTGCTTTTCCAGATAATCTTTGTCAGTCACTAATGTCTCAGGTGTCACTGAAACATGACTGTGTTATCTTAAAAAAAAAAAAAATTATTTTTTTTATTAAATGTTAGGGGCAGCTGTCATTGTAGCCACACACAAGGAAGTGAAAAGATAAGAAAATTAGTCTCAGATTTTTTGCTATGAGATAAGTCATGAACAATTTATAACAAGTTTTTATTTTCCAATATATTTACCTATTTTGTCACAAATAAGGATATTTATAACAAACAACAAAGATTTGTAAAAACAATTTGTATAAAAAAAAATTCAAACACATCTTTATGAAAATGTCCATTGAAACTATTGCTAAAAACACATGTCAACAACATGAATTGAACTGAAACTATGGGATATTATTATTTCTCTGATTCCTTCCACCCTTTTGCATTCCGTCCAAACTTGTAAACCAGTCTGCGTCCATCCACTCGCTCAAGGATTTCTCTTTTGTAATAATATCTGTTAAAAAAGCACAATGAATGGACTTCATATTATTGCATGTAATGTTATAATGTTTGCCTTGAGTTGTGTAATAATCTTTATTAGTCAAACTCAAATCAACTGTCAAAGCCAGCGAGAAACAAGAGAGGATTTAAAAACAGGAAGTCATTTAGTCTGCATGATAAACAAAGGCAAATCATTCCAAGGTTACGGGTTACTTATGGCTCAACCACTCAACCTCCTCTGTGTGTTTTGGAAAGACCAGCAATGACTTATATAATGATTAGCTAGTACATGGGGGGAGTAGGCTGGACACATACTGTAAAAACATATAATAGATTTTTTACATAAATTCTTGAATGAAGCACAAGTCAATGAAGTGATGTTAAAACCTCAGTAATGTGCTCTTGTTTTTTTGGAAGAATAAAAGGTGAGCAGCAACTTTTTGCAGCTGCAGTCATGCAGCAAATAATTTGGCTAAACGCATGTTAAAGTAGACTACAGTAGTCTGAATATGCTGTGTAACAGCATGTTAAAATTAAAGTGATGTGGTAAAAGAAATAGTTGAGGTAGAAAAATGAAGGAAGAAATGATATAATTTATGTCTTGGGAGCGGTTATTTAAATTGGGCTAAAATGACCCAACACGCTATATATATATACTGTATATCTATTGGTAGATCCCAACCTATTATTTAGCCATCAGTGATTTATATCAGTGTTTCCCAATCTTTTTTTCTGGAGACACGTATTTTAAAAGTCTCAAACCTTCGCGACCCAAGTCAATAGACATTACTCGTAAACTCCTGGGAAATATGAAGTGAAACAACCAAAGAAAAAATTCTCTTGCGACCCACCTGAGGGTCGCGACCCAGTCTTTGGGAAACAATGATTTATATGATTAAGGTAAAATATGCTTGAATAAAATGTTTGTTATGCAGAGCTGGTCAATAAATAATGGCTAATAAATTAATGTAAAAGACCAAATATTTCTCCATACAGTACACTATAGCCCAATAGAAAGTATTATTATTACATTCTACATGAATTGCAGTAGCGAGAACAATATCAAACGATTGTTTTGTCACTGTTTTCATTGACGATCTCCCATCAGTTTTTGGCCACATCAAGCTGCAGAATCGTCCCCTTCACTACAGTAAAACCAATAGCTTAGCTTTCACAGTAATAACACCTCCAGGCCCACATTGTAGTCACTGGCGGTTTGCAGTAATGCCAACATCATTAGAGTTGCTTGTTTGAGTGAATAGCTTTGACCATTTTGCATTCATATCTGGATAAATGTGTAAAATGTTTGAATACTGTATATGTGGCAGTGATGGGTTCATTAAAAATAGTAAGTGTTTTGAAATGTGGTTTCGAAAGGGTTCGAGTTTACAGATTTTACAAGTGGAACTCTAAATGATGTCGGCAAAAACGGCCTATTAAATAAATTAGTTTAGGAACAATGCTTTGTTGTTTCTTTTTCTCATCACAGTTTGTACGAGCATTTGCAGTTCCAGAGTAAATACTTGTGCAAATGTATGTTGTTAATGCATTAGGGGGGAATTAAGAATTGTTTTTGTTCCACCCCAGTCGTCCTGCTTTGGTCGAGACATTTACAAGAGAGAAGCAAAACATCAACACAACTATCAGACAAACTTTGTTGTTTTTTTTTTTTTTTTTGGACGTCTTTGTTACCAGCTGTAAAAACACACAAATATACATTGGAGGTGTACCTCATTGCCCGACTTAGTTTCTCATAAGTCATGCTGCTGTTATTCTTCTTTCTGCCCCATAACTGTGCCACTGCTTCAGATTTTAGGAAACGGAAGACCCCCGCTGTCCGGTCCTCCCACTTTATTAGCCCTGGGTTTCTCTCCGGTGTTAAAAGGATGTCTCTAATGAACTCCCACAAGTGAGTCCCCCTCGGACCTGTGGGAAATGAATATATATATATATATATACAAGTTAGGATTGACCAAACTTTTTAATTTGTTTTTAAATTTAAAAACAGAATGTCGAACATGCTTTGACTTACTATGCTTTTTGGGATGGGCGCGGCTACATGATTTCTTTATGCCTAAAAAAAGCCAAAAACGTAATTTGTGGTGATTGTGTTGTTGCTGAGTGATGTGGAGAATAAACTGGTGCAACCGTGCACATTTTGAACCAGGAGATGATCATTAAATATCTAATTTAAATTTCTCACCGGGCCTAGAAGGAGCAGGAGAGGCAGCAGGTGGGAGGGGGTGAATTACATAATCACAGTTTTCTACATAAAAAGAGAAAAAACACTGTATGAAGGATGTGACCTATTAGAACACCTGGATAATTCCTTAAGTGTTGATCCATAATACCTTCAGAGGCAGAGCTGATATTTGGATATGGACAAGAGAAATCCACTGTAAAAAAAATAACTCAATGAATATTTATATTTAGTTTTAAATTATTTAAACTGAGTGAAGAAGCTCCTACATTCTGGTTTAAGATCCTGTTGCCCTATTTCCACGTGACACGGCCCTGCAAAGGAGAAAGGAGAAGATTTAAATAAAACTTACAAATAAAAATAAAAAGTCAAAAAACGTCCGAAACCGTTTTAGTGCATTCAACAAAATTTGATTTGCTACAGATAGTACACAATACTGATTTGTTTCAACGGTAAAACTGATGGGCACAAGATTATGTTTCAGGGACATTTATGAATCATAAATCATCTGTAACATCTCAGTCAAACAATGACTATTTGTGCATTTAAATTTTGCAACGTGTCACATGGGTTTTTTTAAGCCCTTGAACAATGTCATCATTGTCCTTTTTTGTACTTCACTGTGACGCCTGGAGGCAAAACTTGTTATTCCTGGTCATTACTGTTAATGGAGGAAATCTTATTAAGGATTTTAATTTAAAATACTTCCTCTAAGCCACATCTTTTTATTACTGTGAATGTCCGATATTAACTTTTTGCCAATATTCGATATGCCAATATTGTCCAAACACCAATTTCTGATATCAACTGATACCCCATACCCTTGCGGGGCAGTGGTGGCCTGGTGGCTAATGAAGTTGAATGAGGCCTACTCACTATAGTGATGGCTTAAAGCAGTGTTTCTCAATTATGTTCTGCCATGTCACCCCTAGGGGACAGAAGTTTTTTCACCCCCCAAATTGATATACTATTGAACGCCTTGTAATATTTATTTATTTATCTGTACAAACCACTGTATGAGTTGCTGACACCAACATTCTGCATATAATCCCCTGATTTTTAGAATTGATTAATAAAATCAGCTACAGTGCTGCCATCTAGTGACTTTTACTTTAATATACAGCTGTTTATCCCCAAAATTATTATTAGGGCACAGATTATTTGGCAAAACCCAGGCATTGGGTTATTGGGATTTCATTATCGGAGGAAAAAACGAACATAACGATTCTTACAGATATTACATAATATGCTAATATCGAGCTATTATTGGCTGATATTATTGGACATCCCTACTGTCAAAGTGATGCCAATGATGAGGATTCTTTGCATTGACTCCGATATTTTAACTAAGTATAGTAGATGTTTAGATTATAACTATGTCATTTCCATATTTCCCTCTCTTGCTTGGTGCAGCCCTCCCACACCTAACAGACTTCGTGCTATCTTGGCGGCATTAAAGGGCTATACCCCTCTTTAAGACACACCTCCCAACTTTAGCTCTGTGATGCTGTGGAAAAGGGTGGGTCCCATGCTGCCAGCGGCCCGGTTAAAGTCCTGGTAGGTGAGGCTGCAGAGCTGATGGCCGTCCATGTCAAAGTGCTGGAAGGGAATAGTGGAGGCATCGATCTGGTACATGTCCATAACTTGCTGCAACCATTCCCACACCTGGTGTTTACTCCAGAACTGCGGGTGGGAGTCGTACAGCCAAAGGCGACCTGTGTAACCCGACATCAGCATCGGCGCTGAGGGAAGAATCACAATACAGTAATTCAAGTCAGGTTCAGATTATTTTACATTTCTGCTTGGATCATTTTTGCTCCCCATTAAACACGTCTTTGATAAGGCAAACATTTCCAAAGACGGAGCAATTTGTCAATAATTAATCTGCAGATTAAGCAGCTGGAAGAACTGTTCAGCTACTTTGCCAAAGGGATTCCTTGATTTGTGCACTGTGTCCCACCAGGTGAGCAATACATCAGTCACTAATTGTTAAATGATTTTCATTCTGTATTGCAGTGCAGCAGGAGACCAAGACCGTTGAACAAAGTGCAGATTAACATATTTTCTAGAGGCACTTCCCCGACAATTTTAATTAATCGATTTCTGTCAGGGAATACCAGTTAGGGCATACAAGTTATAGTGTGCAAGTTGGGACGTTGGTGGTCTCACCGTCAGAATAGGAGTTAGTTATTCCCCAGGTAGTGGTCAATTGGTTCTCTAGCATGGTGGTTAAAGGTGTGCTCATACTGTGGATGCTGTAGTCTGATGTATCATGGCCTGGAGGCTGAGGGCAGAGGAGAGGAAAGATGGGAGAAGGTGAATAAAACAATGTGTGTATAAAAGAAACTGTGAAAACAAGACTAAAAAACTGTACAAAATACACACACTGACAAAAGAATTGGAAATAGACACTATTTAGTATTAAAACATTATAAGTTATCATAACGACAAATACAAAGGGTCCCCAACTTATGTCGGGGTGCAGTTCCTTTTTGTTCCTCACGTCGTTCTAGCCTCCGTTGTGTAGCTTATACCAAACTGTACTGTATGTCATATCCATATCGCAACTTCAGTTCATGAATCTCAAACTGAGCTCAGACAGAGCAAATGAAGAGCTCTCCACAAGCACTCATTGAATTCTCAGACTTGAAATGTTTTGGTTGTTTTTAATCTGACATCCTGTTGACTTATTGAAATCCACTCGGTATATTTTCTTTCATACGCGGAATTAATTGATTGAAAATTCATGATTGTACGCTGCAATGACCTTCTGCTTTGGCCATTTTCTATGAATTATTAAATGTAAAGTAATAAGTATTCCGCTTCATGTAATTCAGTTTTTTCATATAAACCATTTAAGGCGGATAAGCAGAGTATCCAATCAATCAAAAACTGCTACTGTTAACTCTTTGATGCACAGCAACATGGGTCATGGCCCACATTTGTTTTCCATGTGATTTCATGCAGAGTGAGTGGTTTTTGCTGTTGCTTCTAAATCTACATCTTCTGTCATGGATTATTCCTAGAATTATTTCACTGATTTATTTTTAATTGGTAAAGGTCATTATTTTTATTTTTTATAATCTGGGAATATCATTATTGTGTCTGGCAGCTTCAGACACCAACATTGATTTACAGGAATTTGGAAAAATGAAAGTAATCCTTACTTGAAATTGTGTACATTTTACTGACAGAATTGTGCTGCTACTTAACCTGCCTGGCTGAAATGCAAATGTTATGCATTGTTGTAAAGTTCTGCTGACACTGCTTAAAATACTGTCTTAAAGTATTGATAAACATTTGTTCTAGCGTCTAGCTGTGAATGTGTGTGTGTGGATGGATGCATGCATGAGAATAGGACTCACATATCGCTCCATAGCAGGCATTAAAAACATGAATCGAAATTAGCAAGGTAGGAGATATACACAAGACGCATTTTAGACTAAACAGAAACCAAAATGAAGGTGAGAATCACAAATGTGTCTCCCGAGCTGTAGAAGAGAAAGCTTTGAGCAGTAAACGTTTCCTCTGGTATAGCCAAACTCAAAGGTCAACATGAAGAAAGACATCTGTTGGAGATACCTATCCTGTGACTCATCTGTTACCTGTTTACTGAAGGAGCTTATAGTCCGAGCTCTTGGGTTTAGCTCCGATATCAAGCCTTAACACACACACACAGACTGAGACTGTTTTCCATCCTGGCACTTTAACAACATAGTTCCCTAGTTCAGATTTTAAATGACAACTAAGGTCTGATGTTGTGTTCCTCTGCCAAGATCTTTCAATTTGGCAACAGGTAGTTTCTGTCGTTGCAGAAATCGTCGAGAAGTGTCACAAGGAAAGGAGACAATCATAGTCTTGGCTCAATATTCAGTTAGCTGAGTCGGTAAACAGTCGCCTGTATTATGATGCAGTAAGAGTCGCCTTTGTCATGATGTAGAGAGAAAGCACAGTCTCGTGTGCGCAGCAGTTATGCAGGGTTAACAATGTAAAAAAAAATTCTAAAAATGCATTATTGCTCAGATTATCAGAAATAAGGAATTAAGAATCTACACAATGTATTTATTCATCTCTATTCTATTCACCCTCTTACAGCTAAAGCCACAGCTGAAGTTGAAATCCCAGGACAAACGTCCATCTAACTAAGACAGTAGTTTAAATGTACACAAAATTAATCATTAGAAAAATTGTTCTTTATCTTGCAACCTTCTTTTCAAAAAAGACTTCAAAGGGACTGTAAAAGCCAAGTGAAAATAAAGTTTTCTATTTTATTGCACACTAACCCAGTTAGACTGGCCTTCACCGTGCTGCGATGAATCACCTGAAAACATACAACAGAATGACAGCCTACCAGAGCAACAGATTGATGTTCAGCCAGGCCTGATTATTTCTCTCGCTGGTCCACTCTGAGCTGAATGGAGATTCAGTGTCTGCAGGCACCGACACTCTGGATGCTGAGTGCTCACAGTCAGAAAGAAAGACAGCACTCTTCTCTTCCTAAATGTCTAAATAAACAACAGATAAAAGGTATGTAGACACACTAGGTGCTACCACACCACAATGGCTGTTTTATTCTCCTTACTTCCTTATCATGCTCCAATTGGCAACCTGTCCTGGCTCATATCAGGTGAGTTTTTGCATAGCACACACCCACTCGCGGAATCACATTAAACACAACAGAACGTGAGCATGCACACATACGCACGGGAATAGACACACATGACATAATCTTAAAATTTCCTATAATGGCACTGCTTCCTCCCTTCACTCCCTTCCTGTAAAGCACACGCACAGGAGGAGGCGTAAACCCAGGCATGGATCCAAACACACTCAAACCCCGCAGAGAGAGAGTGTTAAATTGCTTAAAGTCATTGTTCTTGCATTTGCTTAAAATAGTGTTTAACCTTTAGAGAAAATTTCCCCTGTGTTATTATGTAGCACAACATTTGTTTTCCCTGTTTCGTCATGATGAATGGGGTGCTGACACTTTAGGTAAGAGGACCGGGGAGAATTTGTTCTGCTTCTTTTTGAAAGTCACTGGAACTGGCAGCAAGCAACTGGCAAACACATTAGCAGCTGTGCGCTTAAAAAAAAACAAAAAAAAAAACAAACAATGCATACATTTGGTACAATTTATATACTTTAACATACAGTGACCTCCTTTAGCTTTGGTTTTGTTAAGGACACGCCCCTTTCACCTACATGTGACATATTATTATTGCGATGACATCCAGGTTTGATTGCATTTTAAATGAATGACATTCATTGTTTGTCAGTGAATAATTATTAGCTTTTGTGTAGCACACATCGAGATACAGTAATGTCAGGTATGAGGAATCAAAGGCAGCTTGTTAAGAGTATTAGTCTTATTCAGCTCTGCATATATGATAATTTGTATTTCTGTCTGCCGAGAAGTTAAAATATCTGACAAAGCTGAGATGCTACACAATATCATTATAAAGAGACTTTTTAAAAAAATTTTTTTTTATAAATTAAGGCTATTGAAATCAATCAATCATACACATATCTCATGTGTGAATCAACTGATTTTCAATTAAATAGGGTTCAAACATTCTATTTTTGGATGACACCAATTAGAGTTTAGGCAAAAAGTGCCATATCTGACCTGAGAACTAAATCTGATCTCAGCTCCACCGATTCAAAAACACACAGGACCAGTGCCAGTACCAGTACTATGTTTGTTATGGAAGTGCCTCTGCGTGCTCAGCAAAGAGAGTCAAACTGTCAAAACAAAAGATCCTGATGTCAGTGGCCCTTCATCAGTCACTTATATAAAATGAAAGAAGACTATTTTATTCTGTGCCTTTATTAGTACAACACTGAGCTGCGTAATCCCATCAGACCAACTCGGAGTCCTAATGAAAAAAAGTATTTTGAGGAAAGTAGATTAAAACAGGCAGTGAGCTGTTAAACAGCATATCTTATTAGCCTGATAGGCTGACATCAATGGCCTGTCCCTTCCCTACAGATTCCTGTGATCATCACAGTGGCCTCTGTACTCCACGGTGCAGCCTACACTCTCCCTGGGCTGTGTGACTTGGACTTCTGCCCATAGCTTAGCCTCAAAGGTAATGAGGGAATTTACTGTTTGTATAATTATCCCCCAGAGTCGGCCTCAACTTCCCACATCTCCTCAATGTACAATCTGAATAATAATAATAATAAAAGTAGTAACAACAACATGAATACATGTTTCTGCAATTGATTATTATTTAGTCAAGTTACAAATATTGTTCATTGCTGTGTAATATAAAAAAAACCCTTTAATTCATCAGATTAAGAAACTCTGCTTCATGGATTTTATCAAATGCATTTTAAGCGGGCCATAAAAAATGACTTGGCGGGCCATTTTTGATTGCCGGGCCTTGAGTTTGACAACTGCGTTAATGCATCAATGTATTTTCTTGATTTCTTTTTAATCTTAAGAATACCATCCATAAGGTAAGATAAAGGCAGTCAGAAGTGAACTAAACTTTTCATTAAGTTCACCAGTGTGTCCAGATTTTGGCTTCATCTTTCTACCTTTTTTTTTTTACTTTGTCACTTAGAATGCCTACTATTTGGCATATCATTTCAGGGATGTTCGTTCTGCTTTTTCAGGGTGGATGTGGGTCGACATATGCAGAGGTCCGCTGGGGGAATAGCAAAAAGCAGAGACACATTGGGAAAGATCAAAGTCTGACATATCAGCTATGCTCTGTGTGAGTCAGTCGGCATCGCGAGAGGCAGTGAAGACGTTCTCCGTGACAAGGAAATGTCATCAAAATGCTGGCACTACAGACACTGTAATCTATTTTTAAATGGAGAACCATGTCAAGGCTTGTGTCACTATCCAATTATAGTTCACTTCTGATACATTTATAGTGGCTTATTGCTTGCTTATTAGTCCTGAAATACTATTACTTTATGCGGTCAAAAGTCTTCCTCTGACATGAAAGGCTGTCAGAGCTGTCACTCAGAAGAAACGCAGCAGACAGGAGGAGGGTATAATCTGCACGCTCTAATGAACGGGAACTTATTAGTGGGAGTATGTCTGGTACTGTACCACTTTCCTCCCTCCTTCCTCAGCTGCTTATCACGCCTGTTAGTGTCATTTTTAATACTTCACATTTTGATTAGCATATGATCCACAGGGAAGAAGACAAAATATCATTGTATCACTATTAATTACTGCTACCCATCATACGTTGACATTTTCTTACCATCCAGGAACAAAAGCTGTGTAATTGCAGTAATGAAAGGTACAACAGGAAATGAATTATTCACAACCGTCTTTTTTTCTTGTCCTTTCAAACACATTATTTCCATTTGCCTTGCATTTTCATCGAACACAAATCCTGCATGTCCCACAGCTGGTATATGTTTAAATGCAAAAGGGCTCGAGTGTGACGTGAATAAGGTTATTTAAAAAAAAAAAAGATTTCACCTGAAGTGTCCTGGAGCAGATGCACTTCATAAGGTTTGATGTAGTTTTGTTTTCAGCCTGTAGGGGGCACTGTTGTGTAATGCACTACTTGGCCATCCCTGGGAGAACAGGGCGGGTGGAAAAGAAAACGCAGATGTGACATGAAAATGTGTAGGCAATGAAACATGCTTCCTGACAGTTATTGACGCCAGTGCCTACAGATGGTGCTACCCACGAGGGCACAGTATAACATACATTATCAGCTCCTACATGGAGGTGTAAGGAGGAGACACGGGTGAGAATGTGAGGAGTGAGGGTCAGCGCACACTCTAAGGAGTACAGGACATGTTTGTTGGCAATGTGTGGCCATGGAGGTCTGCCACCGCAACACATACACTCACACACACACACAAACACACCACATCCAACCTATACCTGCTGTATGCAAGCACTTGTTTAAAGCTGTCTCAGTGCAAACTGTCGACTGAGAGTGGAATTCATGTTCCAGGGCAACAATGCCACATTAACATACAATTTAAATATGTATTGTTACACCATTGTTTTGATGAAATATTACTGGAATAATAACATCGGAATTGTTTAGCATTGATTGGCAGATGACTTTTTTTTATCATTGCCTCAAAAGGAATTGGAATTCTGAATAAAGATCTCTTAGGATTTAAAGGTCAGATATAGGATAGGACTTATCAATATACGTATCTACACAACCAGATAAGGAATCGGTGATAGTTTCCGACATTTTAACAATGTTGTATTCATTCATATTCATATTTTCTGGACTGCAAGTGGCCGTTTTCTTATATTCTCAAGCAGCATATATTTAAAAAAATATACGCCATTTCATTGATGGCCACATGAGGATACCCATCTTCACCTGTGCCAACTGCTGCTACTGAAACATGAAAGAAGAACTCAACTGAACTATAAAGACTACCATAGATAACACAGATCAAATGCAACCAAAAGGAAAAATGCTATATTGCAATCATCGAGCAGCAGTAAACAATTGAACAGACCTGTGGAACTGATGCTGATGTCGAGTCTGACGGCAGCCCAGCAGAGGAGGAGACAGCGCTTAGTCTTCCTCCGAAGTTGGCTTAATATTTAGAAGCGACACCCAGGAAGAATGGATTCAGCGACACAAAATAAGAGCAGGAGTTTGTTGAACGTATCACCCTGTTTAATCTTTAGGCTTCTGTGGAAGAAATAGTGTTTTCATATTAAATGTTCATTGAATTCTTCTTATATATCTTTTTCAAAATAACGCGACTTATAGACTGATTTGACTTACACATGTTTTTCTGGACAATAAACATTTTTAAATAACATCTTAGAACATCACAGAAATTATTTTGATATGTGTCCTGTGGTTAATAAAGGTTATTGAATATTTTAATCCAACAGTAGAGGATAAATTATGCGGGGAATTTAAGAATATAAAATGTAATTAGTGAAACATTTGAGTCCGACCGTTACCTTAGAAACACAAGTGCAGCAGGTCTTTGATGAAAATACAATAGCTCCAGTTCAGTCATCTACATCTGTGAAGAACGCAAGACAGTTCATATATTAATAAAAATAAAAACCCACCACCATGTGAATTAGCAGCTCTGAAGGTTGATTCATCCTGTCAGTTAACCTCTGCCAGCAGGCTGCTGCTCTTGTCTTTGTGAAAAGCTGTAGTGGCTTCAAAGCTGTCACATTTTTCCTTAAATCACTAGAAACCCCTCGGAGGGTGCATCTGATTTTGCAAGTCTGATTATTCAGCGAAACCACATGTTGTTGGACATTTTAATCAATCCTGACCCTTCCCTGTGGAGGTGCTGCTGCTTTAACACATTTTTATAAATTAACTAATATAAAAATTTTGTTATTTTCTAAAAATACTGAAGCAGACTATTTTTTTCACTTCCATATTACATTAGTGAGGAAGAGAAATTATTTTAATTTTTAGTACAACCTGTATAACTTTATGAATTCTCTCCATTGGTATCAAATTGTTATATAGTAAAGACTGAACTCAGTGTTGATGGTTACAAATGAGCCTAACATTCAGTATATTTAACTGGGCTTTTTGCACATATACTTGCATCTTTTGAGCGCCTGACTATATAATAATAACCAGTTCGGTCAAACGTAAGTAAATGTTTTATATTCTGCCACATCTTGCTCTGAGTAGCTCCAAGCATACTACCACCTCTAGCTGTATGAGGAACATTATTAGCACAGTACTAAATGGACACACGCTACATTACATAAACCAGGGGGGCAAAAAAGGAGATTGTGATGCAACAGTAGATTACAAGGGGTGTGCTGGTAGATAATAATATAAATTATAATATAAAAAAATGCATACCTATATATACAATTCCATTCTGTGCAGGAGTGACCATACTGTAAGACAAAACAACTACATGCATTAAATTAGTACCCAAACATATAATATAATATAATATAATATAATATAATATAATATAATATAATATAATATATATATATATTTCTATATATATATATATGTAAAAAAAGGTTGTCCACTGTGTAAACACATGGAGGAGACAGGAAATGAGGCAGGATACAACCTAATACGTTTGGGAGTATATAAACTGATAAAACCTAAATGCTCATCAAAAGATATCCTGTGAACAAGGAACGGTGTCACACCAAAGCAGGTGTGTCAAACTCATTTTGATTCAGGGCCACATACAGCCTGATTAAATGTCAAGTGTGCCAGACCAGTACAAGCATAACAGAATTACCTTGAATATGTATATATTAAAAC